GCTGTGGGAATGAAGTCACGCGGGGGAGGGGAGAGCCCCAGGTGGAGGCCGAGCACACAGCGGTGTGTTCCTTTCACACGTTCTCCTCGTCGCTGTCCCTAACGTTTATCCACCTTCACCCCCAGTTACAGCCGCGTATCCTCAGCTGGAACAGGTGCTGTGCACTCAGACACTCTCTGAACCTTGGTCTTTATCACTATTTTAATCCTCACCCAAGGATATGTTTTTTATTAGTTTTTAGAGAGGAAGGGAGAGAGGAACATTAACTGGCTGCCCTCCGCACGTGCCCTGATTGGGGGTTGAACCCGCAAAACGGGTCTGTGCTCTGACCAGGAATCAAACCCGTGACCCTTAGGCGCACGGGATGGTGCTCCCACCCACTGAGCCGCACCAGCCAGGGCTGATGCCTGATCTTTTAAATCACGTTTACCAGGCACTTTTGCCTCTTTTTGCTTCAGAGTTGTTTTGTTTGGTTGGTTTGACTTGTTGATAAAGATTATTATTTGGCCTGGACTGAGGCAACAAGCAGAGCTCCCCACATGTTCATGACAAGAAGAAATATTTTTACAAACTTCCCTTTTATGGCATAACAACATAGCGTGAGGTTTCTTTGCACATGCAAAACTGTAATGAAAATCCTGACCATTTAGGTTGACGCCAAAGTCCTGCTATTTTAAATGAAATAAAATAATCGTGTTCCCCTTGCGTGTTTGCTGAACGGATTGCCTGTGATGGCGGGAGTGGGGCAGGGTGACTCCGCAGGACCTGTGCTCCGGGGGCCGCCCCAGAGCCTTCCACATGGGGACCCTCCTCGGTGGGGCATGGAGTCAAGTAGGCGGCCGCCCTGGAAGCGTAGTTTCTCCCGTGTTTGCCTGATAGGATCACAGGTGGGTGTGTGTGTGTGTGTGGGGGGGGGGGGCGCCATGGCTTTAGGATACAGAGTCCCAGGCCCTGTCCCATATGAGTACCAACAGGTCTGAGTTCCAAGGACCCACGGCTTGGGACTAGACTCTCATGAGGGCGACACCCCAGCACTGAGCCCTCCCCGCACGCCTCTGCCCATCGCAGCGGCAGCTCCAGGCCTCGGTGCCAGGGACAATGGGCGCCCACGGCTCTTCCTGCCTGCGGGCAGCGGCCTGGTTCTGCCCAGCCCACACAGCCCCGCCTTCGAGTCCTCCTTCTTTCTTCTCTTCCCTCTCCCCTCTCCCCTCTCTCCTCTCCCCTTCCCTCCTCCTCCTCCTCCTCCTTCAACTGCTGTATCCTGGGAACGTGGCTCCTCCAAAGTGCTGCTTGGTGATTTGTTCTACTTTCTGGGTTTTGTGAAGTTAAAAATACATTAACTGTCAAAAGAAGGAGAAGACGGGCCACAGACGGAGAAAATATTTGCAAAAGACACAGCAGCGCATCTCCACGAGAGGGCGCCCGTGGGGAGCAGCCTCACTCAGGCACACGCAGGCCTCTGCTCCGAGGTGGTGCATGTGTCCCTGGAGAACCCGCGTCCTCCCATGTGGCGCACAGAAACAACAGGGATGAAGGGGAAACGGGTTGAGGCAGGCCACTCGGATCCGTGCAAGTTCTTCACCAGAACTCGAACAAAAACAAGAGCCGTTTAATGAAGTCAGCAGCCTGGGTGAGGCCCCACTGACGTTCGCACCCAGCAGCTCAGGGGTCCACGCTCTCTCCTTTAAGACAAGGGCCTTTAGGCCGTTCATTTCCAAGAGAGAGCCCTTTCCTCAAAATGTAAAACATGACCCAGGCCAGTCAATGAAAATGTCTTCACAGCTTCTTCAAGGGTTAGGCCCTTCCCGTTCTCTGTCCTGACAGGTTTCCAGGCAAATGTTGGAGGGTTCTATCAGTGAGAACCAGACTCAGCTGCAAGCCACAGAAAGCAAAACGGAAGAACATGTCATGTTAAGTTCAGGCAGTGGTCCGGGGCTGACATAGTGCCCCACAGGGTAGGGACCCAGGCTCCTACCATCTTGTTGCTCTGTTCCGTGTGGCCTCAATCTCGGGGTCAATGCCAGGGGCACCCTCATTTCAGGCAGCAGGGCTGGAGAAAGGGGCAGAGAAGAGAGCAAGGTTCTTGGAAGCCACCACCCACATGACACCTTTGCATATGTGGCATTAGACAGAACCGACTCATTTGTCCATCCAAGTTCAGGGATGAGGGGGAGAGGCAGTCTTCATTTTGGCAGCCGCAGGTTCTGGCCCAGGTAATTCCATTACTATTGAAGAGGGACTGAGCAAATGGATTCGGGAGCCATAGCAGCCTACAATTGAAGCCCATGGTAAAACTTTAAAATTCCAGAACATTCCTAAGTAGAGGTGAGATGCCAGTGACCTGAAGTTCTGGTACCATTGTCTGGTCTCAAAACAACCCAGGGATTGCCAGTCTGCTTTGAGGTGCTAATTCAACAAATTACGTTCTGGTTAAATTTTCCTATGTAAATTTTTTTCAATTCTGAAAGGCTTCATTTTCAAAAGGATCTTTTTTTCTTTTTCATTTTATTCCAACATTAATACAGAAATTCTCTTATTTCCCCTCATCATCATACTGTCAGTCACCAAGTTCCATCAACTTGACATCCTAACTATCTCTCAAACGTATCCTCTAATCTCTTGCACCATCACCTTTCAGCTATTCCACAGCGAAGAACTGCCCCCATTCCTCTGCCCCAAACCCATCGGCCTCTTGTCCCCCTCAAGGGTTAGTTAACTTTTAAAAACACAAACCTGAGCACTCTCCAAAACTCTTAATGCCTCCTCTCTGCTCCTAGAACAAAAATCAAGCTCCTTAACAAGGCCCACAAGGGCTAACTATCGTCTGGCCCTGCCCATCTCACCAGCTTCCTTCTCCCTTCACTCTTCCTCTCTGTTCTGTGTTCTTGAACCACACTGACCTTACCATTTCTTTCATACATTTTTATTGATTTCAGAGAGGAAGGGAGAGGGGGAGAGAGCGAAACATCAACAATGAGAATCATTGATCGGCCGCCTCCTACTGGGGATCGAGTGCGCAACCTGGGCATGTACCCTGACTGGGAATGGAACCATGACCTCCTGGTTCATAGGTTGAAGCTCAACCACTGAGCACCCTGGCCGGGCTGAACTTACAATCTCTTGACGGCATCACACTCTCTTCTGCCGCAGGGCCTCGGTACCAACTGTTCCCTGTCTGGGAGGCTCTCTCTGCCGCCCCATCCCTACCCCCTTTGCCTGGGTAAGCTCTCCTTCCTTCCTTCCCATCTCAGCTCAAGCTCGCTTTTTTAAGGAAGCCTTCCGTGACCACCCCACCCACTCCCCGGTCTTCAGAGCCCGTCTGTAGTTATAAATTCATCAGTGTGTTTATTTGACCAAGTCATGTTTCCTCACCCGGAGTTAAGTTGCATGAGGCCAGGGCCGTGTTTACCCTCTGCGCCCCATTGCACCCCCTCTGCCAGCCGCAGGCTCAGTGAAATAAACGTAAGCACATGCGAGGACCCACGTCACCTGGAACCCCACATCCCAGCGCAACCACTGTCTTCAGATTCTGTAAGTCCTCTCAAACTGTGTGTTGACATGGTTACATTTCATAACATCGAAGGTGTTCGTCATAAATAGCAGAAGCGATTGGGGAATGGAGATCTGAGACCCGCACCCTCAGGTCAGAGTCCTTGGCCAGCCAGGATGCTTGGCCAGGCTTTGCCCACGGTGGGAGGTCAGGGAGAGGGCCTCACGCAGGCCCCTTTGGGAAAGAGGAGCCCTACGAGGATGGAACCCTAACAGGATGTCCCCGGGGTGGACCACACCGTGGGGGGCGGGGAAGGGAAGTCCGGGAGGCCCTGCTGCACCGGGTGTGGCCCCTGCAGCTGTCCGCTGTCCCCTGACCTTGAGAGAGGACTCGCCGGCTCTCCTAGAGGTCGTTTCCAAACACAATCAGTTCCCTGGAAATCTGAACGCGCGTTCCCGGTCCCGGGACACACCTCAGCCTGCTCTCTGCACCCAGACGAAAGGCCGGGCTGCTCACTGCGTGCATTAGTCACCGCAAACCGCCTCCCGTCGCGGGTCCCGCGGGTCCACGCCGGACGCAGGCAGGCGGGCGGGGGCGAGGCCACTGTGGGGGACTCCGAGACCACGCCGGGTCCCGGCTCCGGTGGGTAATTCACAAACACCAGAGCTCCCGAAACCCAAAGGACCACCTGCAGGGGGCGAGCCGGGCCACACTCCCCGGTCAGCGGGGGCAGGGGCCTGGGAGGACCAGGGTGGGGACGATCCCCGATCCCCGCGGACCAGGGCCACCCCTCCCCCGCCCCCGCCCGGGGCAGGGAGGGGCTGCTGGGCGCCACTCGGGGGTCCCGGGCCAAAAGGAGACTGGGGACCCGGGACCGGACCGGACCGGACCCGACCCGACGGCGCCGGAGCCCCCGCAGCCCGCGCCCCCGGCGATGACCGCATCACACGGCACCGCCCGCCCGGATCCTCGCGCTGCGCTCCTGGGAGGCGTTGGTGACGACGCGTGTTCCCTGGGACGGGCAGGAGCTCGGTACCGCGGCCGCAGCTCCCGGGGTCACCCGTGGGCCTAGGCTCCGGTCGGGGAAGTCGAGGCAGGGTAGGCGGGAGCGGACTCGGGTGGGAGGCAGGGTTTCCGGTTCCCCACCCCCCGCCTGACTTCTGCAAACGTGTGCCATTTGTTGTGTTTGCACCGCCTGTAGCTTCCCCTCCTCCCACCCACCGTGCATTTCCTCGGAGAAGTTGTCATAACTCTTCGGAACCATTGGAAGCCTCCGGCCCTGCCAGGCTTTAGGTGGAAATCGTTGTCTTCTGGCTGGTCTGTCCTCCCTTTTATTTATTCATTAAATGTGTTTTTATTGATTTCAGAGAGGAAGGGAGAGGGAGAGAAACATCCATGATGAGAGAGAATCGTGGATCGGCTGCCTCCTGCACCCCCACACTGGGGATCGGTTCCGCTACCCCGGCCTGCGCCCTGATGGGGAATTGAACTATGACCTTCTGGTTCATCGTGGATGTTCAACCACCGAGCCAGGCCGGCGGGGCCAGTCCTCCCTTTTAAATAGGGACATAGGGACCACCCACCCCCGTCACACACGCACACGGGCTATTACACCGTCACCCTCTTCACAGACCCTCACACGGCGGAGCCGACCACAAACCCCAGGGTTGCTCCTGAGGCCGGAGCTGCGCCTGACTCCCAGATAATTGCACTTGAAGGTGAAGGAGGCGAAGAAATGGCCAAAGGAATTGGATTTGTGCCTCGGCAAGTACAGCAGGCGCCTGTCCTGGGAAGACGCCAGCCTGCAGGCCTCCAGGGACTTTGGATTTTGGCCCCTTGGCCACTATGCCTAGGGCCGAGGAGCACGTGCCCGCATGGGGTCTGGCGGTGGCCTGGCCACGCGTGGGGGACCCAGACCCGCAGCCGTGACTCACCCTCCTTGCCCTGCTGATAAAGGGCTTGGAGAGATCGATTGTGTTTTCAATTGGGATCATTGCACAGAGAATAACAGCTCTGGGCCACTTCCGAAGGAAAACAAACCCTCCAAGGAAGTGCTGCGTAGTCTCGGGTAGAGACAGGGCAATGGGGGGCTCGGCTGCCTGGCAGGGACCACTTCCTGGAGCCACTCTGGCTCCCTTGACCCCAGTGCTGAGGGGATGGCAGCTCTTGCTTTCTTCCCATGTGTTTGTGACAGAAATACCCTTCCAGTGACTCACCACGAGCCTGGCTGGTGAGGCTCACGCAGTGGGGACCGCAGACTGTGTGCCCACCGGGAAGGCGCTGGGCCCGCAGCCCCGGGGGGGTGTGTGCGCCCATGTGCCCACTTGCTGAGCTAAGCCCCAGGCATTTAAAAGGAGAAGTGAGAGGAGGCAGCCCTGGCTTTCTGAAAGGCTTACTCGGCCTTAGGCTATAAAAACATGATTGGCCGGTTGGCCGGGACTTCACTGGCCAAAGTGCAGCCTGGTGTCTTCTCTCTCCAAGCAGTGCCTTCGCTCTTCTGGCTGAAAGCAAGTAAGCAGCACATCTTCCCGGAGCGAGGATGGAGGAGAAGGGCACGGTCAAGAGGGAAGGGGTAAGTGGGCTTCCGGGGAAGGGCGTGGAGCAGCCCCCGGGGCCAGGGGGCCGGGGCCAGAACCTGGCCCGGGCAGCCTTGCAGGGGGACCTCCTGGGAGCTCGAGCGGGGGAACTCTGTTTCGTGTGATCTGCCCTCACCGTTCACCCAGCAGCTGGGCTTTTGCGGTGATGAGAGAAAGGAGGCATTCGGGGCGTTTGGATCTGAGATCCTTCGGGAATTATGCTGCTGGATCGGCCTTGACAAGTACCTGCAGCCAAATTGAAGGGACTCGGGGATTCATTTGCCCCAGCTTCCTTCACCAAAAGAACCTGAGGTGAAGGGACCCCAAAACCAGCCACAGACTCCTTAGACATGGCTGGTGAGGGGGTTTTCCTCCTGTGTTTTGAGGAAACCCTCAAAACAGACTTTTACAATTAACCTTTTCAGCAGCTAACATAACGAAGCCAACATGAATTTATACGCAGAACAGATGCTGCAGGAGTTGAATGTAATTCACACCTGTAGCGGAGCTTCCCTACCTTTTAGATGATGAGGCCCTCCCCTCCTCCTTTTTTTTGGAGACAAAGGTTTTTCTGGACCTGCTGTTAGACCAGTGGTTCTCAACCTTGGCTGCACATTAGACTCACCTGGGAATCTTATTAAAATCCCGATTTCTGGGCCTCATCCTCCGGAAATTCTGTTTCTTTGTTATGGGGTGGGGCCACAACATTAGTAACAAAGAAACAGAATTTCCGGAGGGTGAGGCCCAGAAATCAGGATTTTTAAAAGATTCCCAATAAAACATATTAAAAAAAAAAAATTAAGGCCCTAACCGCTTTGGCTCAGTGGATAGAGCGTCGGCCTGCGGACTCAAGGGTTCCAGGTTCGATTCCAGTCAAGGGCATGTACCTTGGTTGCGGGCATATACCCAGTAGGGAGTGTGCAGGAGGCAGCTGATCGATGTTTCTCTCTGATCGATGTTTCTAACTCTCTATCCCTCTTCCTTCCTCTCTGTAAAAAAATCAAGAAAATGTATTTTTAAAAAAAGATTCCCAGGTGATTCTAATGTGCAGCCATGGTTGAGAACCACTGTGTTAGACCTTTAGAGTCTCTTGCTTGAGGAAAATGCATAGACAGAAAGATAATATAAATATATGAATGCTTTTCAGGATTTGTATTTTGTTCATCACAACAGCATATGTTTATGTTTATGGGAGGAGAAGTACATATCTGAGCAAATTATTGTTTATTCGGTTATGATTGTGAGCCCTGGCCATAGGCAGGTTTTGAGCGTGCTCTGTACTGGGAGGTAGAGGTACCGGAATTCATTCCTGCTCCGTCCTATTCTAAATGTGGGGACTTGGGCAAGTTATGTAACTGCTCTGCGCCCCAGTTTTCTCATCCATAAAGTGGGTATAATAACCATGCCCTCTCCTAGGGCTGCTGGAACAATTAAATGACAGAGTGCATGGAAATTACCTGTCACATAATGAAATTCCCCATAAATGTTCTGACTTTTCGATCACTGTTTAGAGCTGGGCACTGTTGACCTCTGGGCCGGGTAATTCTCTGCTGTGGGTGCTGCCCTGGGTGCGGGGGGGATGGGGAGTGGGGAGGCGGGGCGGCAGCATCCCTCGTCTGCCTCCCCAGCTGCCAGTGGCACTCCCGTCCCAAGGAGAATGAATCACTGCTTCCGAGATCACTGAGCACCGGGATTATCTTTTTTGATTTTCACAACTAAGACAATGCTGGTGGAGTGTGAGCCCCTCTACTCTATCGAAAAGGGACTGGGAGGTCACGGGAGGCCCTGGTCTGGTCTGTGTCCCCTCTTCCAAGAGAAATGCACCGCCCAGGTGTGTCCCCAGGTGAGTGCAGAAGAAGGACACGCCCCCGTGTGGTGGTGCCTGAGAGTGAACAATGCATTTGAAAGGACATAATTAAAAGGGTCACTTGCAAAAGGTATGGGATGATCACAGCTGCCTGCCGCCTCTATTATCCGGGAAGGAAGCCTCCAGCATCAGGGCAATGCAGCTCCCCCCACCCCCCCACCCCGGGGCCGCCTGAGGGTGGACCTGCTCCTTTGGGCAGGTGCTGAGCTTCCTGGGAGATAGCAAAGCAAAACTCTCCACTGGTGACTAATTGTAAGCATCTGCAAATCATTAAGCCAAGCGGAGCGGAGATTTGGGAGCCAAGGAATGGTGGAGGGACCAGCGGGGCTGCAGGGAGCGGGGCTGGGCTAGGTGGCTGCGTGACCCCGGCCTCACTGCCTTGGGGTTCCTCATATGTAACAAGAAAAGCATCCGTCTGATGTGCCTCAAGGACTTTCTGTCAGGAAGAGACTTTTAGTCAAAAGAAAACAATAAAATGGATTAAAAAAATGCCAAAGTGCTTTGGAAATGAAATGAAAATGCATATTTTCTGTGTGAGGAGTCCCCCCCCCCCCCCCCCCGCCTCCCGCCAACTAGTTCAGGGCGTTGAGCAAGCAACTTTCCCTCCGGGTCCTCGCTGTCAATAGTTAACGATGATAGGTGTGGCTCTGGGTGGTTTATGCGCGGGTGGGCAGCTGAGGGTTATTGCCCACAATAAAGAACTCTGTGCCCAGCGCGCCGAGGCCAGCACACAGGGCCGGCCACGTGGGCGCTTCCAGATTGTACCTGAGTGCCCCGTGCCCCTGGCCCGTCTTCTTGTAGTCCTCACACCCGGCAGGCCGTTTTCCGTACCAACAGCCGTCAGTCTCCTTTTGCCCATCCCTGTATATGAACGCCTTAATTCTTTTTCCTTTTAATCCTCACCTGAGGATATTTCCTCCATTGGTTTCTAAAGAGAGTGGAATGAAGGCGGGGGGGGGGGGGGGGAGGAGAGAGAGAAACATTGACGTGGGGAACCTGCAACCGATGTATGTGCCCTTGACAGGGAACCTAACCCAAGACCCTAAGGTCCACAGGCTGGCGCTCTAACCACTGAGCAACCGGCCAGGGATGAACTCATTTATTCTTCACATCAATCCTGTGAGGAAGGTAGTGTCATTGTCCCCACTTTTAAAAAAAAATATTTTTTTTATTGATTTCAGAGAGGAAGGGAGAGGGAGAGAGAGATAGAAACATCAGTGATTCTCATCATTGATCAGCTGCCTCCTGCACGCCCCCCACTGGGTGTGCCCTTGACTGGAATTGAACCTGGAGCCCTTCAGTCCACAGGCCAATGCTCTATCCACTGAGCCAAACTGGCTAGGGCTCGTTGTCCCCATTTTAGGGGTGAAGGAACCGGGACACAGAGAAGCTCAGCAACTGGCCCAAGGCCACACAGCCAGCAGCAGGAGAGCAGGGAATCGACCCCATGCTCGGGCTGCAGCCGCTGTGCTCTGAAACCCAGTGACAAGACAAGGCACCGCCAGCCCCCGCCCCCACATGGACCTAACTGTCTCTTTGTAAAACTTGGGGTCCCACAATGTGGTAACATGACGTCCAGTGTTGACAACACTCAGTTTCCAGGGATATTTCATTCTACCTGGGGATTCCTGACGACGAAAGTCTTATACAGAGTGTGTCTCCGATGGTGGGAAGGGAGTGGACACAGATGCCTAAGGGAGCTGACTTGGGCAGATTCCTTCCCGGCCTCCTCGCTCACACCTGCCAGAGGGCCCGCCCTGCAGATGGGTGTTTTACTAGAGTCTCAGTGTTCCCAGCACGAGGCAAAACAGGAAGCCAGCGGAGTGTGGGCACGCGGGAGGTGGTGCGGGCGGTGGTTCCTAGTTTTTCCCAAATCCCAAAGTGAAAGAAAGGAACGAGAAGAGAAAAAAGAAATCTAAGCCCTGGCTTTCTTTTACACGCCTTTCTCATACATCACCTTTAGTGAGAGTGTAACATACAACTCACCATTTAATCCAGTGGTTCTCAACCTTCTGGCCCTTTAAATACAGTTCCTCATGTTGTGGTGACCCCCAACCATAAAATTATTTTCGTTGCTACTTCATAACTGTCATGTTGCTACTATTATGAATCGTCATGTAAATATCTGATATGCAGGATGGTCTTAGGCGACCCCTGTGAAAGGGTCGTTTGACTGCCAAAGGGGTCGCGACCCACAGGTTGAGAACCGCTGGTTTAAAGTATATAATCAGTGTAGACTCACAGAACTGTACAACCACCACCACAAGCAGCTTTAGAACGTTTTTTTTTGTTTTGTTTTGTTTTGAGTATTTTGGGTTGTTTTTATTGTAGTTTAGTTCTAATATTATGCCATCGTGGTCTGAGAAGATGCTTGGTATGATTTCAATCTTCTTGAATTTGGGGAGACTTTGTTTGTGACCCAATATGTGGTCTATTTTTGAATATGTCCCATGAGCCCTTGAGAAGAATGTATATTCCGTGGCTTTGGGTGAAGTGTTCTGAAGATGTCAATTAAGTCCATCTGATCTAGTGAGTCATTTAGGATTGCTGTTTCTTTGCTGATTGTTTGTCTAGAGCAGCCGTGGGCAAACTACGGTCCGCGGGCCGGATCTGGCCCGTTTGAAATGAATAAAACTATTGAAAAAAAAGACCGTACCCTTTTATGTAATGATGTTTACTTTGAATTTATATTAGTTCACACAAACACTCCATCCATGCTTTTGTTCTGGCCCTCCGGTCCAGTTTAAGAACCCATTGTGGCCCTCGAGTCAAAAAGTTTGCCCACCCCTGGTCTAGAGCATTTATCCAGTGATGTCAGTGGTGTATTAAAGTCCCCTACTATGATTGTATTGTTGTCGATTTCTCCTTTGATATCTTCCAGGAGTTTTTTTTATGTATTTGGGTGCTTCTGCATTGGGTGCATATATGTTTATCAGGGTTATATCTTCTTGTTGTATTGATCCCTTTAGTATTATGAAGTGGCCTTCCTTATCTCTTGTTATGGCCTTCACTTTGAGGTCTATTTTGTCAGATATAAGTATTGCTACCCCAGCTTTTTTTTCATTTCCATTTGCCTGAACGATATTTTTCCATCCCTTCACTTTCAGTCTGTGTGAGTCCCTCCTTCTGAGGTGGGTCTCTTGTAGACAGCAAATGTATGGGTCATGTTTTTTTATCCATTCAGCCACTCGATGTCTTTTGGTTGGAGCATTTAGTCTGTTTACGTTTAAAGTTATTATTGAAAGATACTTGTTTGTAGCCATTTCTTTTTGTGTGTGGCTATTTTCTTTCTGAGCTTTTTATTTCTTCTTTTTACACCAGTCCCTTTAGCATTTCTTGCATTGCTGGCTTGGTGGTGATAAACTCCCCTAGCCCTTTTTTGTCTGTGAAGCTTCTTATTTCTCCTTCAGTTTTGAATGATAGCCTTGCTGGATAGAGTATTCTTGAATTCAGTCCTTTGCTTTGCATCACTTTGTAAATTTCTGTCCATTCTTTTCTGGCCTGATGTGTTTCTGTTGAGAAATCATTTGATAATCTAATGGGAGATCCCTTGAATGTAACTTTCCGTCTCTCTCTTGCAGCCTTTAAGATTCTCTCTTTGTCCTGAACATTTGCCATGGTAATTATGATGTGTCTTGGTGTGGGTCTTTTCGGGTTCACCTTGTTTGGGACTCTCTGTGCTTGTGTGATTTTTTTCTTCCCCACCTCTGGGAAGTTTTCTGATATTATTTCTTCAAATAGGTTTTCTAACCCTTGTTCATCTTTCTGTTGTTCTGGCACCCCTATTATTCGTATGTTGTTTCGTTTCATGTTGTCCCATAGCTCCCTTAGGCTCTCCTCCTGTCTTTTAATTTTTTTCTCCAATTGCTGTTCAGTTTGGGTGTGTTTTGTTTCCCTGTCTTCTAATTCGCTAATTTGGTCCTCTGCTTCTCCTAGTCTACTGTTGAAACTTTCAATGGTGTTTTTTATTGCAGCCATATCACTCTTCATTTCTTCTTGGTTCTTATATAGTTTATTGATTTTTTCATCTGTTTCTTCTTGCTTCTTGCATAAGATGTTGATTTTTTTCCTCCATCCGGTTTATGCACTGTAGGACCCTTAATCTGAATTATTTTTCTGTCATGTTGCATGCCTCTGTATCACTTAGCTGCTTTTCTGGCAAGTCCTCCTTTTCTTTCCTTTGGGGGTTTCTTTGTCTACCCATGTTTGATCGTACCGCCATATCTAGATGTTGAGTCGTTCAGTGGCTGCTCCTTGGGTGGCAGTGGCTCCTCGGGCTGCGGTTGCTCCTCAGGCGGTTGTGGTAGCAGCTGCTCCTCAGTTGGTAGCAGCTCCTCTGGTGGGTGCTGTTCACACATAGCTGCTGTTCCTCAGACAGAGGGCGTGGTGATCAGGAGGCTGCTGTTCCTTGGATGGGGGCAGGCTACACAAGCCCAAGTTCTGTCAGAACGTTTTTTATAAACCCTAAAAAACCTACACTCATTTTTAGCCACTCCATATTCCCCACCCTCCCTTCCTCCTCTCCCCAACCCTAGGCAACCACTGATTTATCTTCTGTGTCTATGGACTTGCCTGTCCCAGACAGTTCACAGAGTTAGAACCAGGCAGTGGGTCGCTTCTGTCACTGGCCTCTTTCATTTATCATGCATTTAAGGTTCATCCATATTGTAGCATGTATCAGTGTGTCATCCCCTTTTATGGCCAAAACATATTCCATCGTATGGATAGACCACATTTTGTTTATCCGTTCATTAGCGGATGGACATCTGGGTTGTTTCCACTTTTGGCAGTTATGAATAATGCTGCTGTGAACATTCATGTTCAAATTTCTATGAGTATGTTTTCATTTCTCTGGGGTCTGTGCCTAGGAGTGGAATTGCTGAGTCATTAGCTGACCTTATGTTTAATTTAGTGAGGAACTGGCCGACTTTTCCAAAGTGACTGCGCCTTTTTACATTCCTACCAGAAATGGTAGAGGGTTTCTCCGCATCTCTGTCAACACTTATTATTCTCTGTCTTATTGATTTTGACCATCCCAGTGAGTGAGAAGGGGCCTACATGTCCTGCATCTCAAGTGTTGGTGCATGTGGGTATGTGTGTGGGTGTTCCTCCTGCCTCTGGAAAATACAGGGTAAGGTGGCAACAGCCCTGAAACCCGCCTTGCCACCTGGGCACCGTCACCTGCCCGCCCTTTTGTCACGCTCACCCCAGAGGATGGTGAGGACCGAGGATGGGAAACCAGAGCCCACTGCTCCTTCACAGGCTGCTTGTCTGCGGCTCTGACCTCCCTCACCAGAGCTTCTGAGGAATTACCTCGGCTCATTCATTTGGTGGATGGAGGCGGCGAAGGCGAAGTTTCACTCACAGCTTTGCGCCTGACCAGGGCTCCTGGCTGGTCCGCTCCAGCTCTGCGGGGGCTGACTCTTCTGTCCTCAGGGCATCACGACGAGGCAGGGGCGGCCGTTCTCTCTCTGTCCTGCTCACTTCTCACAGGAGGTCTTCTTTAGATCAGACGTGACACTGCCCATAGGACCACAGGAGCACCCAGCTTGCCCCCTGAGGGGCCTGTGCCCCACATGGCAGGGGGTGCGTGAAGGAAAGTCTTGAATGGAGGGTTCCAACAGCCGTGTCCGGGCCCAGCCCAGTCAGCAGATTCTCTCTGAGGCTGGATGCTTTTCTAATTCATCCTTTCAATAACTCTGGGAGTGGTACCATCCTCATTTTAAAGATGAGGAAACTGCCCTGGCTGGTGTGGCTCATTGGTTGGAGCATCATCCTGGGTGGCAGGTTTGATTCCTGGTTGGGCACATGCCCCGGTAGCAGGTTCAATCCCCAGTTGGTGCTCATGTGGGAGGTGGCCTGATTGATCTTTCTCACATTGACATTTCTCTCTCAAATCAATAAATTTTTTTAAAAAAATAAAGATTAAACTGAAGATGGTGGGGATTAAGCTGGAAGGTGGCAGTGGGCAAATTCAAAGTGAGATCTGTAGAGTCTAGGAGCAACGTTCTTGCCGCTTTCATTTTTCTCCCGCTCGGCTCGAAGGACTGCCTTAGATGAAGGCTCGGTTTCCTCTAGCGTCAGGGGTTATGTGTGTGTCAGTGTCCCCAGGAGTCTGTATGTAAACAGCTTCTCGCTGCGCCCTCTGCCTGTGACAGCGAAAGTGCAGCGGCTCAGGGACTTACTCAGTGGCCCTAAATAATGTAAATCGCATGCGTTTTTCCTCTCTGAGTTCTAGGGAGGTTGGCAAATGCAGCCACGCCACAGGAATGCGCGGAAGCGACTCAGACACTAGATGGGGTGTTCCAATAGGTCCCTCAGTGTCTCTCTGACCCTCTGACCCAGTGCATCTCAGCCGGGGTTTGGGGGGCATTTAGCAATGTCTGGAGACATTAGGGTTGTCACAGATGGGGGAGGGGTGCTCCTACAATGCATATAGGACAGCCCCCCATAACCGGGGATTGTCCAGCCCTGAGTGCTCCTGTGGCAGAAGCCTGTCCTAACCCCAGGTGAGCAGAGGGGGGGTTTCAAAACCAGGGAGCCGATGAAAGATGCAGATCTTCTGGTTCCATTCCGTCTCCCTACAAGACGTGGAACCAAATCGGGCCCCCCCACGGCCTCCTGACCTCACCGTGACCTCTCCTCCTGCAGAGGCTGACACCGATGCTTGTCCTGGCCACGCTGATCTCGGCCTTCGGGTCCTCCTTCCAGTACGGCTACAATGTGGCCGCTATCAACTCCCCTTCAGAGGTAGGTCTCTGCGGGGAGCGAGACCCGGCCCCCACGACCCAGGAAGGTGGGTTTGGGGCAGCCCGGGCCATGGGGGTGGGGGTGGGGAGGCGCAGGGTGGGACTGCACACAGGTGGAGGGCACGCAATGGGTCCTGGAGGAAAGGGACACCACGCAGGCCCCAGGGGACTGGCGGACACAGGACAGGGGGATGAGCCAGGGGCCAGGCCTGGCTGGACCCCCGGGGGGCTGGCCTTGATCTCCCGCAGCTTTGCCATCTACGGAGGAGTCCGGAGCGGCAGAGATCACCTACTGGACTGGAAGACGGGAGTCAGTCCTCTCTGGTGTTAGAAACATCCGGGCAGTTTGCCTCCCAGAGGCCTTGAGGCCCTACCCAGGGGGCCCCTGCGCCCTGTTGTTAATACACCATTGTCCTCCCCCTTCTCCTCCATCTAACAATGTCCGTATCCACGTGCCCAGGCTGTCCCCTCGTGGGCCCAACAGCTTACATTGCACTTTCTGCAAAACCAGGTCACATTATGGGGGCCTTCTGTTTTGCTTCGTTCTCCAGCTCATGAAAACATTTTACAATGAGACCTACTATGATCGGACCACTTACTACCTGAGCGACTTCTCCTTGACGCTCCTGTGGTCTCTGTCTGTGTCCATGTTCCCCTTCGGCGGCCTCGTCGGGTCCCTCATGGTCGGCTTCTTGGTGAATAAGCTTGGGAGGTAAGGAGAAGTGCACGTTCAGCTTCCCGAAACGCATACAGCCTATCGGAGCTTAAGACCTAGCCTCCCGAGAAACCCTTACTGTAAGGCGAGGCGAAGCCACGGAGCTGATTTCTGTTTTGTGATGTGGCCTTAAGACCAGACGTTGGCCAAGTGTTGGGGTCGTAGGCCAGGTCTTGGGGCTGAAGAGGAAGTGGCAGGTCTCAGGCTCCGGGCGGACACAGAGCGAGCAGAGCGCTCCAGGGCCAGGCCTCCTCCCACTGTCTCTGCTCCCTAACCTGGAAGGTTTTGTGTTTGCTTGTTTGTTTGTTTTTGTGTGGATAGTTTTGTACCAAAACCAAAACCAAGCTCTCTCTCTCTCTCTTTTTTTTTTTTTTTTTTTGCCTTTGGAAGAGTCAAACCCCAGACGACATGGCCAAGAGGCCAGTCCCAACGTAAATCACATCACGGGGTTCTTGAACTTTGCCCGCTTGTTCTTCCACCTTGAGAACAAGGAATATGAAAAATTTAGCCCAAACTAAATTCCTGTGAAACTCTGAAATGGCTGGGATTACCAGGCACTTCCCTGTGGCCCCAGGGCCCCTTTCATTGGGGGTGTAGTGGCTGTCAAGGGTGGAACTTATATCTTTGCCCCTGATTCCGGAAGCATTGGAAGTTCTGTTATTTGATTCCAAAAAAGGTCCCTAAGTCATCCCACTGCCCCATGTAAATTGCGTGGGCCCAAGAGACCAGCCTTGTGCTAAACAGCATTTAAGAGCTCCTCCCCTCACCCCCTCTTCACGGATGAGTGCAGGGAGGCTGAGCGGGTTCAAGTGCCCGTTCTTGGCCACAGATCTAATAGCTCAGGAGTCAAGGCAAGGCCAGAACCCGGACTTCGGTTCTTTCTCCAATTCTTTTCAAAAAGAGTCTGCGAGCCCTGGCCGGTTTTGCTCAGTGGATAGAGCGTCGACCTGCGGACTGAAAGGTCCCGGGTTCGTTTCCGGCCAAGGGCACATGCCTGGGTCGCGGGCTTGATCCCTAGTAGTGGCTGTGCAGAAGGCAGCCAATCAATGATTCTCTCTCATCATTGATGTTTCTATCTCTTCCTCCCTCTCCCTTCCTCTCTGAAATCAGTAAAGAAATATATATATCTTTTAAAAAAGAGTCTGCGAATAGGAACACACAGCCTCTGCTCTGGGACCTCAGGTCCTCGGGTCTTCCTGGGAGCTTGGCATTGAACGCACAGCGTTTCCTGTGGGCCTCGGGGAGCAGGACCCCGGTCAAGTCACAGTGGGATCTGCAGGACCCTCCTCCTTGAGGGACTTGCGGTTCCATCCACAATGGAGCCGACCACGGCTGGGTCAGCTGGCTGCTTGGGAATGTGATGAATGCTATTTCACTGTGTATGGTTTTCTTAACGATTCACAGGTGTTCCTTAAATAACAGCAGCAACTAGCATTTTCTGTGCCAGGCTTTATCTTGAGTGCTTTTAGGGTTATTAATTCCTCTAATCCTTCCAAAAGCCATCCCCTTTTCAAAGACGGGAAAACGGGGGGGGGGGGGGGGGGCGCCGGGAGACACTGTAGCAACCCAAGATGACACAGCTGGGGGCAGTTTCACTTCTGAGCTGGTGCTAGTCACCACCACACTGTCCTCTGTTATATCAGGCAATCAGCTTCTCAACCCGTTGTTTTATTTTTTAATCATACATACAGTAGTATTTTTTAACATAAAAATTTTCATTGTTCAAGTGGTCAACTTTAATTTACAGTTTTTGTTTTTTGTGTCTTAAGACAACCTTTTTAAAAATATATATATGTTATTGATTTTTTACAGAGAGGAAGGGAGAAGGATAGAGAGCTAGAAACATCAATGAGAGAGAAACATCCCTGCCTTCTGCACACCCCCTATTGGGGATGTGCCTGCAACCAAGGTACATGCCCTTGACCAGAATCGAACCAGGGACCCTTCAGTCCACAGGCCGACGCTCTATCCACTGAGCAAAACCAGTCAGGGCTTAAGACAGCTTTTTACCTTCCTGGAGACATAAGGATAGTATTCTGTAATTTAAAAAATAATTCAACAGTTTTGTTTTTCCCAGATAGACCTGGAATTTTGTTTTGTATATGGTGAGTGGTGAGAGACAGCTAATTTTTTTGCACCTAAAATCTGTATAATTTTGTTATCAGTGTCACCCCAATAAATTCAATAAAAAATAAAAATACAGCGACTACTGATAGGAAAGAACTAAAAAAAAACCTAATTTTTTCCGTGAAAGGGCCATTATTCTTAAATTTCTTATTCATGTCCCTTTCCTCTTCTGTGTTAATTTTGAAATCATTTTATCAAAATCCCTGAAAAAAATTCTCCTTGGCATTGCTTTCATGTTTGTCATAGATTTTTAGGAGACTTCACCTTTATCAGCTTACAGAAGTTCTATTTATAGGTTAATGCTGTTTTTTTAAATCATAATATCAAATTTTATGGACTTCTTTTGATAATCTTATATTTTCCCCATTATAATCTTTTTTAAAAATATATTTTTTATTGATTTCAGAGAGGGAGGGAGGAGAGAGACACCAATGATAAGAGAAACATTAATTGGCTGCCTCCTGCACGCCCCCTACTGGAGATTGAGCCTGCAACCCAGGCATGTGCCCTTGACCAGAATTGAACCCGGGTCCCTTAAACCCGAAGGCCAACACTCTACCCACTGAGCCAAACCAGCTAGGGCTCCAGTATAACCTTTAATATGGTATTTATATACGCCAAAAAATTCTAGCTGAGTCCTTTGGCATCTATGTTGATAAGTGAGGTTGGCTCATACTCTTCTAATGTTCTTACCCAGTTGAGTTTTCAGATTATACCCAAATCATGACAGCCCATGGTTGCAAAACCTTGTACTGTATTCCTGGATCCTGGATCCTGTTGTCACCAGGCACACACTTGGTGGACCTTAGACCAAATTGGTTTTTACTTTTGTTTTGTTTTTAATGTATTGATTTTAGAAAGAGGAAGGAGGGGGGGAGAGAGTGAGAGAGAAAAACATTGATTTGTTGTTCCACTTATTGATGCATTCATTGGCTGCTGCTTGCATGTGCCTTGACTGGAGATGGGGCCCACAGCCTTGGTGTATCAGGACGATGCTCTAACCCCCGGAGCTGCCTGGCCAGGCCCGGCCTGGCTGACGTGCTGTCCTCCACAGGAAAGGGACCTTGCTGCTGAACAACGTCTTCTCCATCGTGCCCGCCATCTTGATGGGTTCCAGTGAAGCTGTCCACTCGTTTGAGATAATCATTCTCTCCAGGCTGCTGGTGGGCATCTGTGCAGGTAAGCCAGGCGGCACTGTCTGCTGAGCTGTGACTGACAGCCGTCACCAGGAGGGAGGACAGGGGCCAACCTGGGGTCTCTGAGGCCAGACCACGCTGTCCCTCTGTGCTGTCATGAGGCAGGCTCTAGTGCGGACAGTAGGCGGATCCCCCCTGATGTTTCCTGCGAAGCAAGCTGTTCTTTGAAAGACTGAGACACAGAATCTTAGGTTCCGGAGGGTCCTTCCACCCCAGTCCTTTATCTCGGTGTGTTCTCAACAGCAAGCGGGGACCAGCAAGAGGGAGGTGACATCTGTTTAGAGAGCAATGTTTCTGTGTGTGTGTGTGTCTCTGTGTGTGTCTGTGTGTCTCTGTGTGTGTCTGTGTCTCTCTGTGTGTGTCTGTGTGTGTCTGTGTGTCTGTGTGTGTGTCTCTCTGTGTGTGTCTGTGTGTGTCTATCTGTGTGTGTCTGTGTGTGTGTGTGTGTGTGTCTCTCTGTGTGTGTCTGTGTGTGTCTGTGTGTGTGTCTCTCTGTGTGTGTCTGTGTGTGTCTATCTGTGTGTGTCTGTGTGTGTGTGTCTGTGTGTGTGTGTGTGTCTGTGTGTGTGTGTGTCTGTGTGTGTGATTAGTCCTCACCCAAGGATATTTTTTCCATTGACTTTTAGAGAGAGTGGGAGGGGGGAGAGAGAGAGCAAAACATCAGTGTGAGAGAGACACTAATTGGTTGCCTTCAACACAACCCCAGTGTGTGCCCTTGACCGCAATCGAACCTGGGACCCTTCAGTCTGAGGGTCGACGCTCTATCCACTGAGCCACACCGGCTCAGGCAGTGAGCAATGTTTTGTTTTTTGAATAGAGTTCACTGTGTCACTATCTTTTGAAACTTCGGTTCCAATTATCTATCTGCGTACGAATGAGACCCGGGTTGCAATGTAAAATGTATTTTTGTAGCTTTTACTGTGGGTTGTGGCCAAAAAAGCTTGAGGAACAACCGAATGCATGGGTCCCTCTAACACAGCGGTTCTCAACCTGTGGGTCGCGACCCCTTTGGGGGTTGAACGACCCTTTCACAGGGGTCGCCTAAGACCATCAGAAAACACATATATAATTACATATTGTTTTTGTGATTAATCACTATGCTTTAATTATGTTCAATTTGTAACCATGAAAATACATCCTGCATATCAGATATTTACATGACGATTCATAACAGTAGCAAAATTACAGTTATGAAGTAGCAACGAAAATAGTGTTATGGTTGGGGGTCACCACAACATGAGGAACTGTATTAAAGGGTCGCGGCATTAGGAAGGTTGAGAACCACTGCTCTAACGGAAGGAGTTAATGGCAGCAACCTCTCCACTTTTATAAAGAATTGAGAGTTTGCAAAGGGCTCATCTTGGCTTCTATTTCACTCCCTCCCTCCATGCCCCCCTGCTGGGCAGGGGAAGGGCCTGCCTGTGGCCTCTCCCCTTGGGAGCCCTGGAGTTGCTTTGCAAACCCCGCAGAGCTGGGCCCCCAGGCTGTTCTGCTGGTGGTGATGGGAAACCCCCTACAGCGGCTTCCGATGGAAGAGGGGTGGGGAGAGCCTGCGCTGGCCTCCCTGGAGCCCATGCTCTCCCGTAGGCAGTGTCTGCCAGGCCGCTCCAGGTGAGTGAGGGGTAGAGTTAGGAGGCACCACTGCTGGGCCAGGCACCTGTAGGTGGGCACCCGAGGGTGAACGCCCTTACCCCCCCCCCCCCCCGCCCCGGGCACCTCACTTATCTGCTCCACTTGCCAAGTAACTCTGTTTCTCCTTCCAAACACGGGGACAGGGACAGACAGTTGGGCCGATGTCAGCAAACCCCTTACCTGAAGTTAACTGAGCACAGGGGAGACTCGGGGCTTTTCTTCTCCGAGACCAAGCCAGTTAGGGGGAGACCTGAAGCCAGGCTGGCTCATGCCTGCAGGTGACACCAGTCAAGAAAGTGAGGCCCCGGTCCATGAGCCTCTTTGGTCAGACTACTTTCTCCTTCCTCAAAGTTCAGGGGACCAAGAATGAAAAGGGGTGTGTGCTTACTGGGCAGTTTTCTGAAAGTTTCGGCCCAATCACGTGACTGCTAAATGGGAACGAGTGTGTGGAGGCCGCAGCCCGGCCCCGCCACACCACTGCTTCCCGATCCTGTCGTTTCACCCTCCGCCAGGTCTGTCTTCCAACGTCGTCCCTATGTACCTGGGGGAGCTGTCCCCCAAGAACCTGAGGGGAGCCCTGGGGGTGGTGCCCCAGCTCTTCATCACCGTGGGCATCCTCGTGGCCCAGATCCTGGGCCTTCGGAGTCTCCTTGCAAACGAGAAAGGTAAGCGCGGCCGTCTCTGGACCACAGCCCTCCCTCCGCTCGGTGGATGGGCATTCTGTGAGCTGGGCTTTTCTCTCTGCTCGGCTGGCTGTCCCTCTGGCCCCCACACTGCCCTGGCCCCTCGAGGTGCTGGTGACAGACTGGCTGACATGCTCTAGCCCAGTGGTCGGCAAACTCATTACTCAACAGAGCCAATATCAACAGTACAACAATTGAAATTTCTTTTGAGAGCCAAATTTTTTTAACTTAAACTATATAGGTAGGTACATTGTTATTAACTTAATTAGGGTACTCCTAAGGCTTAGGAAGAGCCACACTCAAGGGGCCAAAGAGCCGCATGTGGCTTGCGAGCTGCACTTTGCCGACCACGGCTCTAGCCCCTTAGGACCGGGGTGAGGCGGCCTGGAGGGAGCACGAAGCCACCTGGCTTTCTCCTGGCCCGCTGGGGCTGTCCATACCAGGGCCAAGGCAGAGTTAATGCTCCATTTTTGACTCTCTGCGGCAGGGCCCACCGGGTAGGTGATGGCGCCGGCCTGGCATTGGTGAGACGGCGCCTGTGAGTCTGGCTTCCTTGCCAGTGCAGCATAGAATCCACGTTGTGAACTCATGATTTGTGTTCCCATTCTACCACACGGGCTGGCATCGCTCCCGGGTTTTATTCAACAGTCGGGGGTGCTCTGCCCATTCTAGTTTGTGTGCCCAGGTGGCCGGGCCTTCCCCTGAGCAGGTAGCGGGGTCAGAGCTGAGGGGCCCAGCAACCCAAGCTCCGCCGGCCTGTCCTCCAAGGACTCCACGTGTCCACACGACGACCGTGGAGACTTCCCAGTTGCCCACATTCTCGCCAGCATTTGGGGTTGTCAGTTTTTCGCTTTGTCCACCTGGTAGGTGGGCACTGGCGGGTCATCACCACCCTCTTGTACGCATCTGCAGGGTGTTAAGTGTCCTCCTGGGTGCTGGGGACACGGGGATGGGAAGGCCGCTCCCAGGAGAACCCATCCGGGTGATGGGGCAGAGTGGCCGGCTGGGTGCTGTGGGGGTGCTTGGCTGGGGCCTCTGAGAGTGGCGCCCATCCCCCTTGCAGGCTGGCCCATCCTCCTCGGGGTGACTGGGATCCCCGCGGCTCTGCAGCTCCTGCTGCTGCCCTTCTTCCCGGAGAGCCCCAGGTACCTGCTGGTTCAGAAGAAAAACCCCGAAGCGGCCAGGAAAGGTGAGGCTCTCTTGGGGGAGGTGGGGGGCTGGGGGTGGGGAGGACAGACGCTGCAGCGTCTTTGCTCTGGGGAAGCCGTGGGCCCCCTCAGACGCCGCCCCCCTGGTCCCCTCCCTCAGCCCTGAAAAGGCTGCGTGGATGGGACGACGTGGAAGACGAGATGGAGGAGATCCGGCTGGAGGACGAGGCCGAGAAGGCTGCGGGCTTCATCTCCATAGTGAAGCTGTTCAGGATCAGGTCCCTGCGCTGGCAGCTCATCTCCATCATCGTCCTCATGGGCGGCCAGCAGCTGTCGGGAGTGAACGCGGTAGGGGGCGGCCTGGGACTGGGGTGGCCTGGGACTGGGGCGGCCTGGGGTGAGGGGACCTGGGGTAGGGCCGGGGGCTCTGGGCAGGCAGTGGCCTGGCCAGCCCACCAGCATCACGGTTGCCTTCCAGATCTACTACTACGCGGACGAGATCTACAAGAACGCGGGGGTGGCAGAAGATAACGTCCAGTATGTGACGGCGGGCACGGGGGCTGTCAACGTGGCGATAACCATTTTAGCCGTGAGTGTCCCCGGGAGCTGAGTGCCCTCGGCTGCCCAGGATGGAGGGCGCCTTGAGAGTGGGAGTCCTGGCCCAGGAAGCAGCCCTCCGTCCCTTCACATGTCGCCTATGGGCTCTGCTCAGGTGACAGCCTGTCTCTTACGGGAGCTGGCATATGGCTCTTCAAAGATGGAGACAACCCCGCCCTCGGCCCCAAAGCTCCCACTGTGCGAGTGGCGCTTCCTGGAGGCCACTGCCTGTGCCAGGGCCCCAACATGACGGAGCAAAGGGGACCCTTGGACTGCGCAGTGCTGGGCCCACTGGCCATTCAGGGACGCACCCCTGGGGCACACTATGCATGGGCTCCTCACGGTGCCCCTCAGAGGGGGTGTGCGCAATGGGCGGGCAAAGAGCTTCCTGCAAAGGCCGCTCCAGGCTGGGGTATGTGTGGGGGGGGATCATGACTCCTGAGCCCCCGCTTTTCCTGGCCCTCCCCTCCAGGTGTTCGTGGTGGAGGTTTTGGGGAGGAGAATGCTGCTGCTCCTGGGCTTCTCCATCTGCTGCTCCGCCTGCTGCGTGCTCACGGCCGCTCTGGTTCTGCAGGTGAGAGGGTGCGGCCCCCACGCCCCGCCTCCGGCAGCCCACTGCCCACTTCCAGTGGCAAGAGGTGGCACCTCCTGTTGAAGGTGCCATCTTTGCTCGGCCTGGGCAGAGCAGCCGGCCCTCTGGGAGCTGAGATTCCTGGCGCTCCCTGTCCCAGGCTGTCTCTGCGCTGCCCTGTGTGACCCAACTCTGTTCCCCCCACAGACCACCATCTCCTGGATGCCTTACCTCAGCATCGGCTGTGTCCTCATCTACGTCATAGGACACGCCCTGGGGCCCAGTATGTACCCAGAGCTGGTTCTGCTTCTACTGCCCACTCCTGCACCATCAGCCGTAGGAGCTCCCAGCTTGAGCTCCCTGGAGGGGCTCTGGGGGCCCCTGTTCCTGCTGCAGCGGGGTGTGGGCAGAGCCTACTTAGAGCAGAAACAGTAAAGCGGCCGTGTAGGCTGAAACACGCTGCCCCCAGGGGATTACACGCTGCGCCGCCCCCCCCCCCCCCCCCCGTGGGATTGGGGTTGAGAGCCTAACAGATGGTCAGCCCTTTGAGGACATGGTAGGATGTCACATACTGTGCTGAACTCTGGCTTCTGGCCTTCTCACCCTGCTGCTGCACCCCGAGTCCTGGAGACTCACCACGCCCGCCCTGCACCATACCCCGAGGCCCCTGGCACCCAGCAGGGGCTCCAGGACCCTCAGTGGGCGTGCTCTGCCTTCAGCGAGTGCAGCTCTTCCTCTTCCACCCCGAAGGTCCCATCCCCGCACTGATCATCACCGAGATCTTCCTGCAGTCCTCCCGGTCCTCGGCCTACATGGTGGGGGGCAGCGTCCACTGGCTCAGCAACTTCACGGTGGGCTTGCTCTTCCCCTTCATTCAGGTAAGTGTGACCTGGGGGCCCTGGGCCCCCGACATCCTAACGCAGGAAAGGGAGAACCTCTTCCAGAAAGTGATCCTGGCTCCCCTTCCCGCAGGAGGGCCTCGGGCCCTACAGCTTCATCATTTTTGGTGGGGTGTGTTTTCTCACCACCGTCTTCGTGTTCCTGGTGATCCCCGAGACCAAGGGCAAGACATTCATGGAGATCAACCAGACCTTCGCCAAGATGAATCATGTGTCCGAGGTGTACCCAGAAAATGAGGAGCTAAAGGAGATTCCGGAGGAACGCAAGAAACTTCCGGAGGAAATGGAACTTCCGGAGGAAACAGAACTTCCGGAGAAACGGAAGGAACTTCCGGGGGAGCAAAAGGAACTTCCGGGGGAGCAAAAGGAACTTCCGGGAGAGCAAAAGGAACTTCCGGAGAAGCTCAAGTCCGTCTCGCAGGAACTAAACTTGGTGTCGGAGGGACTAAAGGAACTTCCGGAGGAAGTGAAGTCCGCGTTGGAGGGACTAAAGGAACTTCCGTCGGAACTGAAGTCCGCGTCGGGGGGACTAAAGGAACTTCCGGCGAAACTGCAGTCCGTGTCGGAGGATCTAAGGGCAGTTTCAGAGGCGCTGAAGGCCGTGGCCGAGGAACGTGAGGAGGAACTGAAGGAGCTTTCGCCCTCCGCCTCAGAGCAGTAACTCGGGAGGAGGTGCCTGCTAAGTGGTCGACAGCCTGGAGCCCCCTTCTTGGGTTTTTTTTCTGAGTAACAGTTGTCTATAAATATCCAGAACTAGGACAGTCCAGTGTGGGATGCAGGCCCCAAAGGGCTTCCGTGCAGTTACGAAAGCCAGACTGCCCCCTCCCCAGGCCCAAGTCACAGTGAGCAGCCGTCCTCCCGCCATGGCGGGGTTAGCCTTTGTGTGGCTCCTGTAACACCGGCTTTTAGGACAAAAAGCATTAGTGCGGCGGTCAGAGAGAAGGAATCCAATTTGGCCAGAGAAGCAATCCTTTCTCCAACCCCGTGGGTCTTCTGGGGGCCACGGGCCTGTGTTCAGAGCAGAATTCATCCTCTTGTCGGATCCACCTCCAGCATCACCGCTCCGGGAAAGTGTGCGGTCGCAAGCAACGATGTCCAGAAAGGTGGAGAGCAGGTCCCTACGGAGACTTGAACCAAGTCAGGGATTGTTAATCCTAAATTATACTGTTAGAGGACAGTGGAATTGCCTCTGAATACTCAATAAAACAAATGCGATCATTTTTCACCAAGATGTGCTGCTTTTCGATGAGCAGGTGGGAGGAGGGGGGTAAACCCGGCTGCTGCAAGCTGTTTGACTGCACTGGAGTGTAAGCCCATTGAGAACACGGGTTTGTCCTGTTTTGTTGATCCTGGAGTCCCCACTGCCTGGAGCAGGCATGAAGGAGGCACTCAGGCAGTATCTTCTGGAAGAGGAGGAGAAAGGAGAGATGAGGTGGTTGCAAAGTTGTGAGTTTTTAAGTTTGAGATTGGGGAAGCCTCTGCATGTCTTCAGGTACATAGGGAACACCAAGAGGTCCTAAAGGTGAGATGGGGAGGGAGGGAGGGAAGTGGGTGTGCCCCCCACAGATGCAGCAGAGCTAGTAGCTTTGCATAGAGACCTGGGTGTGTGAAGAGGGCATGTGCAAGAAGATGGAGAAAACTTTGAGGCGTGGGAAAGGAAAGTGGAGAGAACACCTACTGAATAGAAAATCTGGTATTGGGGGACGGGGGGCGGGCAAAAGCTCAGAACCAGGTGGGACAGAAGTGGGATTGGGCACAGCTTTTGTGGGGGGAGAATGATCAATTAAATAACCTATAAGAGTGTTGAAGACACAGACCAAGTAAATAGCAAAATGCTGGGGTGTGCCCCAGGGGTGCGTCCCTGAATGGCCAGTGGGCCCAGCACTGCGCAGTCCAAGGGTCCCCTTTGCTCCGTCATGTTGGAGCCCTGGCACGGGCAGTGGCCTCCAGAAAGCGCCACTCGCACAGTGGGAGCTTTGGGTCCGAGGGCGGAGTTGTCTCCATCTTTGAAGAGCCATAGGCCAGCTCCCGTAAGAGACAGGCTGGGATTTCTCCAGCTGGAGAAGATGCAGTTGGAAAGTGTAGGATGGCTATTCCAGGTGAGATGTGGAGGTGTTTAGGGGAACTCTGGATTGGTCTGAAAGTGAAGTCAGAAAGATGTGGGAAGCTTACCTAGAATCTGTGGGTCCTTAGGAGCCAAATTAAGTGAGAACTTTGACCTCTAGATAATGCCGGTGTTTTCGTGACCTCTGAGTTTCAGAGCTGGCGTGGCCGAAATGAGAATGCGGTGGGGCACCCAGTCGATAAGAAATAATGACGGCCCTGCAAAGCCAGCAGTGGTCAGGCCCAGCAGGGAGGAGGAATTGGAGAGAGACTCAGGAGGATGCAGTGACCACAAGGCCATCACAGGTGAGATGCCATTCGTTCAACCAATATTTCTGAGCACCTACTATGTGCCCGGCAGTGGATACAATGGACCTAACAGCCAAAAGCACAAGTAAGCACATACCTAAGATCATTTCAGATAGCACTCGGGGCAAAGTGTTAGACAATGTCAGGCGAGAGTGGGTTTACTTTCAAAAGGGTGGTCGCAGGGAGGATGTTTGTACTGCCATAGTAAGGCCCTGAGACTGAAAAGCCACCCCTATAAGTGGAAGACAGGGGCCGGCACTCCAGTCTGGTCATTAATAGGGTCTATTAAGGAGAACTCACATCCGAGGCATGTCCTGGGTGGCTGCAATGTGAAATGACTTCCCGAGCTGCTTGGCAAGTGCCAACAAATTATATAGTCATGGGGGGAGGAGGGGTCGGGGGGAGGTTTGAGTAGTCACGGGTGCTAGTCCGTGAATGCCACAGGTCTGGGAAATGACGGGCTGGACCAGGTGAGAACAACGGCCTGTTCAGGGACCAGCGCAGAGCAGGAGATAAGGGAAGGGGGTTGGTATATGCCTGAATGAACATCAGTTATGATCACACAGCCTCGGGGTGGGGGTGGGGTGCAGGAAGCTGCCTCCCCCACTGGCCCAGGTCCACTCGTGGGTCCGGCAGCGGTCACCTCATGGAGGAGTCTCTCCTCCACAGAGGCCCTCCCCAAGGAGGTGGCGTTTCAGCTGAGACCTGGGGGAGGAGGTTTCAAGCAGAAGAAACAGCAGGTAGGAACTCGGTTTTTGCCATCAGCTTGACTTTGTTGCTGTGGTTGACTCAGAGGAAGGCAGGCAAGACATCCAGAGGTGATCAGTGTTATCAAACGCCGAGCCTCATGGCCAGCCAGCCAGGTGGCGTGCCAGTGGGAGGCAGAGCGCACTCCCTGGGAGCTGAAAGGCCTGCTGGACCAGCTCTCCAGGGTCTTTAGGAGCAGAGAGAGCTATGGTCGCAGAATAATGCCCCCCACCCCCACCCCCCGCACTATGTTATGTCACATGGCAAAGGGAATGGAAAGTGCAGGTGGTGTTAAGGTTGCTAATCATGTAACTTGGAGATGGGAGATTACGCTGGATTATTCGAGCACCCACATTGAAGAGGGAGAAGCAGGAAGACAGCAGCACAAGAGAGACACAAGAAAGACTCAGTCTCCGGTGCCGGCTTTGAAGACGGGGAAGGGGCCGCTAGCAAGGAAGGCAGGCGGCCTTCCGGAGCTGGAAAACGCAAGGGAACGGATTCCCCCTGCAGCCTCCAGGAAGGAACGCGGCTCTGTTGACACCCGATTGTAGCCCCGTGAGACCGGGTCACAGTCATGACCTCCAGAATTATAAGGTAATAAGAGTGTGTTGTAAGCCACTAAGTTTGTGATGGTTGTTACAGCAGCCAGAGGAAACTCATACCCACCTTGGTACTGGGGAGTGGGGGAAGTGCTAATAAATACCTAAATATATGGAATGGCTTTGGCATTGGGCGCGGGGGAAGAGGCTGGGAGAGTTTTGGGGAGCGTGATAGAAAAAGCCTAGATTGCCTTGAACAAACTATTAATAGAGATATGAATGTCGATAGTTCACTGTTGACTGGGTGGCCAGGCTGTGCAGCCAAGGTTAAAGGGCAGGACAGTGCCACTTTGGGGATAGACCAGTGTATGATTCAAGGTCACTGAGAACAGACAGTTCACACACCTGGCTCTAGTGGTACAGCATGGACTTCCAGCAAAAGAGGAGAGAGAGGCCTGGCCTGTGGCTTAGCTGGTTGGAGCCATGTCCTGTGCACTGAAAGGCTGCTGGTTCGATTCCCAGTCAGGGCACATGCCCAATTTGCGGGCTCTGTCCCCAGGAGAAGGCATACAGGAGGCAGCTGATCAATGATTCTCTCTCATCATTTATGTTTCTATCTCTCCTGTTCTCTTCCACTCTCTTGTGGGAAACAGTTTATTGTCTTCACTATCTGATAAACGTAGACAGAGGAACCCCCCCCCCCCCCCCAAGGCTGGGTGCCTTTGAAGCCCTAGCAAAGGTCAGAGCTAGGCGCCACCTCTGTTTGTGCAGACAGTGGTAGCTGAAACTACTCCCCCATTTATTATTATGTAAATCCTTGCTGATGGGCTAGTCTGCCTGTTGCCAGGGGTCACCTGCCTAAGTGCTATGCTATGGGTGCATCCCAGAATCAATAAAAGCTTGGTGAGGCCTGAGCACGGGTGAAAGTCCTTCCCCTTGAGTTGGACTTGCCCGCCTGGTCCCCCAATATTTCCAATTATCTCTTGTCTTTTCATTTTCATTTGTGTGCGGCTCTGCTTCCAGTTCCTGAACCCTGACCCACGCGGGACGTGGGAAGGAAACACTCAACACTCTCTGAAATCAATAAGAACATATTTTTTAAAAAGGAGAGAGGGCCTGCACAGAGCCTGTCCCTTGCAGTGTGTGGGTCCCCTGCTGTGCAGCTGTGGTGGGCGGGCGGTGTGGCTGCTCGCACTGTGAAGGGACCCTGGCTCCTCCCCAGGGGGCCTGAAGAGCAGAAGGCTGGGTGTGCCTGAGGCCCTTGCCTCACTTGCTTGAAGCAGAGCCCAGGAGCACATTGTCCCAGCCCAGGGCCCATTCTTCTGTGACAAAGCCAGCAGGGCGAGGGACACATGCCTTTCTTTCCTAACAGCCACTCCACTGGCCGAGCCCCAGAAGCAACGAGGGCACCCCAGAGACCACATGGCACTTTGGAGCAGCGACGTAAACCCATGCGCCCCGAGAATCCTTCAGACGTGCGATAGCTGACTATTTAGTCAGGGGCGCGAGCCTCTTCTCCCTTAGCCCGTCAAATAACAAAATGCCAACAGCCAACACAACAGGAGCCCCCCAGTGGGAACGAATCAAAGTTACACCAGAATAGACGTCAGAACGGCAAGACAAAAGTATGGTGTGTGCAGAATGTTGGTAACTGGTTTCTGTGTGCCAGGCGATGAGGTGAACCCCGAACCGTCAGGAGCAGATGGGTGGGAGCAATAAGGACCTCGCGTTCTTTCGCCATGTGCTGCGCCCTCGGGCTGCCACCCACATGCCAACACATTGCGCCCAGGACCCTGGTACGTCTCGCTTTGGTGACTTTGCGTAACGTTCATAATGCGCTGCCCCATTCTTACGTAATTTTCATTATGATCCTTTGATCATTATTCATATCCTTTGATCATAATTTCCTAATTAGCCTGTGATCGTTATTCAGTCGCTCCCTACTTCTCCCTCCTTTTTTCTCAGTAGAGGTAATTCTGAAATGAACACCTTTGTTGAATATGTTACTGACTTGTTTAATGCCGGTAGGTGTACTTGGGAATAATTACGTTGTCTGCCTGTAAAAGTATTTTATTTGCTCTTTCCTCCAAACGGACAATTAGTCCACGTGGGTGAGAGGAAGCACAAAGAACTAACAGGAGACGTGGCTGAGGCCCAGGCAGACTCCCAGTGCTGCTCACGGCTAAGGAGGGACCAGTGGCAGGCACCCCCGTGGTACCTTGGTGGAGGCAAAGACAAATCCATGCTCGTGTGAAACTTATCTTATCAGACGCCCAAGGAAAGTGCGCTCTGGGGAAAGCGGGCAGGGTCCAGAGGCCAAAGGGCAATCAGAACACCCAGGCCCCACGGGGAATCGGCAGGTGCGGAACAGACCCGGGTGTCGCTCCGCTCCGAGGCAGAGCGCACCGCTTCTCACCTGAGCAGCATGGAGGTGCCCAGCCCACCCCGGGAGGGGGTAAGTGTCAGGCTAGGAAAGGCCCCTGTCACTGTCCCGTTCCCACCAGAAGAGGGGACCCGTGGAGGGAGGGGACAGCTTCTGAAACCTACAGCGGAAAGGACAGCACCGGAGATCAGTCAGCTGAATCCTGCACCCCACCCTTCTCCGCAGGCTGGATCCCAGGCCAGCAGGGCTGAGGTCTGCGGGCAGTCATGCAGCTGATGGTGGGGTGGAGTTAGGGGCGCAGTTAGCAGGCAAGCAGAGGGTGGAGCCTGGCCCAGGGCAGTGGCTCTGGACCACTGGTCGCCTGGAGTCCTGGGAAGCACCGCCTCAGGCAGCCGCAGACCTGCCCCAAGTCTGTGCCCCCTGGGCTCTGGGGCAGTTCCCCGGAGCTGCCCCGGGTTCTGAGGTGGCCAGGGAAGTGGGATGTGGTGGCCCCAAGTGAAGGCAAGCCTCAGGCGCTCCAGCCCTCTGTCCCTGGCTCCCTCCACCTGGACACTCCTCCCCCAGGCCCAGGGCCCAGCCACTCAGGGCTCAGCTCCCAGGCCCTCCTCAGAGGCCTGCCCTGACCCTGCTGAACACGCCCCCACTCCCCCCCCCCACCCCCGCCTTCTCCCCTGTTACCCTGTTGGTCCTCATAGCTTTATTGGTATTTGGTGTCTGTACATCCTTTTTCTATTTGGCCTCTCCGCTCCCTAGAATGTAAACTCCAGGAGGTCAGCAGGTGCTGGACCTTTTCCCAAAGTGTCCCCCACTCCATCCCGGGCCAGCGCGTGGTGGAGGCTCAGCTTTGTCTTTAGGGAGGGAATGACTGTGTGCCAGGAACAGGAAACCATGCCATTCACGGTGCCCCCCACGTCTCAGAGCCCTGAGACCCCACCCCCAGCCAGCCACCGCCCCACCTTCCCTGAGCGGGTCCTGGGGTCCCCGACACCTGGCCCAGCTGGTGGGAGCCCACTTCTCAGGTCATGGACCTCATCTCTGCCTCATCTCCGCAGAGGCTGCAGCCCACGCTGGTGCTGGCCACCCTGAGCGCGGGCTTCGGCTCGGCCTTCCAGTACGGCTACAACATCGCCGTGGTCAACACGCCGCACAAGGTGGGCGCCGGGCACGGGGGCTGCCGCCCGCTCCAAGTTCGCTCACCAGTTGCCCAATCTTCTTGGTGACCATGGGGCAATGTCTTCCAGGTCTTGAAGTCATTTTATAACGACACCTACTATGCGCGACACGGGACGTCCATGGACGAGAAGCACATGCTGCTCCTGTGGTCCTGCACCGTGTCCATGTTCCCCCTGGGCGGCCTGCTGGGCTCGCTGATGGTCGGCGGGCTGGTGGACAAGTGCGGCCGGTGAGCGGAGGGCACGGTTCTCACTCGCAGGTCACAGGGGAAACCACGCTGTCTCTGGGTGGTCTGCACGAGGTGGGGGCTTGATATGACCTTGAAAAGCCTCGTCCCCACGGTGCCACAGACCTTATGCCCTGAAGCCAGTCCCCGAGGTTCCCGGACCCCTTCCCTTGTCCTTGCACGGGAGCAGCAGCCCCTCTGTCCCCAACCCCGCGGGCGAGGTACCGCCCTTGAGAGCAAAGTTCTGGAGGCGACTCCCCCTGGTGCCGTGTCAGCACCTGCAGCAGGTGCTCCGTAAGTGCTTGCCGATCGGGTCTGACGCGCGGCCCGGTGACCCAAGGCCCCAGGTGTGACAGCTGCAGCCTCGCCCCTCGGCCTCACCTGGGCTGTTGGTCTGAGGCTGGGGCTCAGACTGAGTCACTCCACGTGCCCGTCCCGTGTCTTTGAGATGCACAGTGGCTCTTTGTCCTTTGCTGGGCTTGCCCGGGCTCCCTAATCTGGGTGCCTAAGCCCAGGAGCTGCAAAGAGGCGCCTCCCCAGATAAGGCAGGTGCCCAGGTCAAGGTCCCCAGGGAGGGAGAGGGAGCCAAGGCCTCGGGGTGAGGCACCGGGATGCCATCTGGCCACATCCCACTCGGAGGAATTCGCAATGACGCTTGGACTCGATACACCGAGACCAGCAGTTTTGGGGTGTGCGTGGAGAACCCTCTAAAGTAAAGAACTTTTAAAGAACTGTAGCCCTTCAGTTCTCATGCATGGGAGAAAATATCAGCGACTGAAAACCAGTTATGCATTACAGCGGGACCCATAGGACCCCTTCTTCTAGGTACTTGATTGGCACTTGCCATATGTTGAGCACATGAATGAGGAAACATTCAGGATGTTGTCCTTATGCCATATCCCAGGCTTTTGTGTAATTCAGACTGCGCTGTTCTCAGCTACACCAGTGGCTGGACTGTTCTAGAAGCCCAGGTTTGGCCTCCTCACCTGGACCCCCCGTCACAGAACCTGGGAGCTCAGTGATGGTCTCCTCGCCCCCTCACCTTGCAGACAAGGACACAGACCGCTCTGGTGGAGCTGGCCTTGTCCCAGTGGGTTCCCAACCGCCCTGAGCAGGAGGGGCTGGGGGAGACCAGGCAGGGGGCGCTGTCCTCTCCAGCCTCGGGGCAGCTGATCCTCGGTTCTCAGTCTGGGCCCCGAGGGCAGCTTTCTCAGAGGAACAGCCGCCCCAGAGAGAAAAGGGGCCTGAGAAACTATCTCACACACCTGGGTGTCTAGCACTGCCTCGTCGGGGATTTCCACTGGACTCTGTGGCTACCCCTCCAGAGGGGTTTCTGTGTTTCTGTTTAAAGATCCCCCCACCCCTGCTCCTGTCATTGTCCTCAAAGGCGGGCAGAGTGTGGGCAAATGTCAGAGGCAGGTGCAGCCAGCAGCCACCCTACAGCTGGGACCTCTCTTCCTGCCTCATCCTCCACTGGTGTCTCCTTTGGTAAAGCCCAACCCAGGTTGGGGGTACGGGCTGTCAAGGGTGCCATTGATGGAAGCCATCCAAGGGCACAGAGCACAGTCTGGGAGGGATGGTCCTGGGGGGCAGGGCAGCATAGTCCCCTCCCTCTCGTTCATAGACTCATGGGCTGGCAGCCTTGTCAGGGATCTGAGAGAGCCTCTAGTCCAGTGGTTCTCAACCTGTGGGTCGCGACCCCTTTGGAAGTAGAACGACCCTTTCACAGGGGTTGCCTAAGACCATCGGAAAACACATATATAACTACATATTGTTTTTGTGATTAATCACTATGCTTTAATTATGTTCAATTTGTAACAATGAAATTGGGGGTCACCACAACATGGTTGAGAACCACTGCTCTAGTCTAACCCGGTGTCCCGCCTGTTGTGGGAATCCCCTGTTCAGCATTCCTGAGGGTCCTCATCTAGTCTGGTCTCTGCCTGAATACCACCAGGGACAGGAAGCTCCCTGCCAGAGGTGGCAGCCACTCCTCGTCCCTTCTCTGCTGTCCGCTCCGGCTGTTAGCACCCCCACCCCCGGCTGTTAGCACCCCCACCCGCCCCTGCTGGCCCCAGACCTTCCTTCCTGGGATTGTGTCTCGGTCCCAGCTTCCCCATCCTTCCCAGCCATCGGTCTTCTTGGGCACATTCCCGCGCCACGGTACCAGCTGCCTGCAGAGTAGGAGTCGTGTCAGGACAGCCTCTGTGCCTCAGCCCCCGCCCTCTGGGCTCTGCTGTCCTTGCAGAAAGGGAACCCTGCTGATCAATAACATCTTCGCCATCGTCCCTGCCATCCTGATGGGAGTCAGCAAAGTGGCCAAGGCTTTTGAGCTGATCATCCTTTCCCGAGTGCTGCTGGGAGTCTGCGCAGGTACGTGGAGCGACTGCTGAAGCCCCAAGGCCACACTCAGGTTCACCCATGGGGGGAAACGTCTGAGGCTGACATGCCCAGCACAGGGGCCGAGGCTGGAAGCCAGGGAGATGAGGGTCCCCCTGGCCCTGCCCGGCCCGTGTCCCTTCTGGGGCACCCTCCTTCTCCTCTCCCAGTCCCTGCGAAGCTCATGCTCTCCCTCCCCCTCACTAACAAAAGCTAACAGGGCTTTAAAAATGCACGTTTGGGTGGTGAGCACACAATAGAGTATGCAGATGTCGTATCATAAGTTTATATGGCGTTATCACCAATGTTACCCCAATATATTTAATTTTAAAACTTTTTTTTAAAACCCTCACTTTTGCCTTGAAGTGTAAGTGACGGAAAGGCTTTACAGGTATTTTCTGAGGAGGATGCCCAGTGTGCACTGAGGGGGAGGGGCTGCGAGCCAAAGAAACAGAGTTTGGGGCCTCGCTCAGCGGGGGAGCCAGCTTCCTCAACCACAGTGGTTTCTTCTGTGTGTGTGTTTTGTGTGTGTCTTTTAAGTGATACAAGTTACCTGTGCTTTAGGAAAATCAGAAAATAGGTCAAAGCAAGAGAATCGTCCCAAAGTCCCACTATCCAGGGCCCCAACTCTGCAACTAGGAAGGAGAGGACATTGGCATCATGCCCTGCAGGTGGCCCCGGGGTTGGAGGATTATGGGAGGGTCCCCTCAGCAGTGCAAACTAAAGCAGCCCACAGGGCCAGTTCCATCTCCCGGCGGGGAGGCGGGGCGTGTAGGGGCGGGGCTTGTGCTGGGAGGCGGGGCTGTGAGGAGAGGCGGGGCTTTCAGGGGCGGGGCTTGTTCTGGGAGGCGGGGCTGTGTGGGGAAGCAGGGTCTTGTGGGGACGTGGCTGTGCAGGGGGCGGGGCTTGTGTCAGGAGGCGTGGCTTGCATGGAACCAGCTGTGCAGGGGGCGGGGCTGTGTGGGGAGGCAGGGTCTTGGGGGGCGGGGCTGTGCAGGGGTGGGGCTGTGCGAGCCACCTGTCAGTGGTGGACACCCAGGAGAAGCTGGGGGACTATGAGATGGAGCTGAATTACCTCCGGGTCCTGGGTCCGGGGGCTGGGACTGCTCTTCTCCCTGATTTTTGTTTTGCTGGAACCAGGCATCTCCTACAGTGCCCTCCCCATGTACCTCGGAGAGCTGGCTCCCAAGAACCTCAGGGGCACTCTGGGAACAATGACCGAGGTTTTTGTCATCGTGGGAGTCTTCCTAGCGCAGATCTTCAGCCTGCAGGCCGTCCTGGGCAATCCTACAGGTACCCAGGCGGTGCACGCCAAGGTCAAAGGGGACGAGGGAGGGGCCTGGGGGTCGTGTGGGGCCGTGGGCGCTGGGTCCAGTCGTTCGCTCAGTTGTGCCCATGTTATTGGTGGATCAAGCCCGTTGAGGCCGAGAGGTGGCCTCTGGGCTGCGCGGTGTGCAGCTTGGTGGACACAGGTGACCTTGATGAGGACAGTGGTGGTGAGTGATGGGGACAAATTGTGCTTGGGACTGGGAGGAGAGGACTGGGACCAGAGGCACACGCGCTCTTGGGGGTTCTGCTGGTGAAGGGGAGAGCTGGCGGGCCGCTGGATGGGGGAGTGAGCGGGAGGGGATGTTGTCCCCTGGGAAGAACAACAGCGCGTACTTGGCTGCTCACTGGCCCAGAAGCGGGAAGGCGGTGGGACCAGCTGCACGGGGCTGGCCATGGTCGCTGTCTGTGGGTGGGCATGGCCCTTGTAGACGTTTTCTGCTGGTTCCTTCCATCTTCTCAGTGGAAGAGGAGGCAGGGCCATTGCCTGAGAGTGGGTGGGAGGGGGTGGGGATGGTGGGAAGTTCAGCGAGGGAGAGGGGGGGACCGCGTCTAGGCCGCGGGTGCAGTGGGGTCTGGTTTTGGTTTTCATGTTACACATTTCCCAGTCACGCATTCCTTAGTGGGTGGACTTACGTCCCTGTATTCCCCACGGTCCCTTGGAGGGACTCGGAGCGCAGGAGGTGCTCAGTGAAAGGTCTTTAGTATCAGCGATTCCCAGGCTGCCCGAGCAGCTGAACACTCGTCACAGGAAGGGCCCTGAGTGGAGGCCACGCTGGCCGGCGGCTGCCCAGAGCCACCTGTACGCCTGGCTCGTGCAGTCTCTTGCAGCCCTCACCACCCTTGATGTGGTACTTTGTCATCATCATCATCATCATCGTATCGTAATCTTTACTGATGAGAAACCCGAGGCTTGGGGAAGTGAAATAACTCCCAGTTCCCACCATCACTCAGGGTTACTTGAGTCTCAGCACCGCCGCCTAACACAAACCTTCAGAAGGAGCTCAGATAGCCACTGGGCCCATCCCCGCTGGCCTAGCCTCCAGGGAGGTAGACTTATAAAATTAGAAACAACACCTGCCGTTGTTTTCTCTGGGCTCACGCGTTTAAGTCAAATACTGTTCCTGAGAAAAGCAATGCTCCTCCTGCAGAAGGAACCCATGCCATTTCTCTTTAAAATTACCATTCTTTCCTCCATTGGTAAACGTGGAGCCCCTGTGTGGGTGGGTCGTGGGCAGCCACCTGGTGGCAGGAACTAGGTCCCTGCTGGCCTTGGCTCTCACCAAGGGCTGGAAGGTCGTGGGCGACTGACCTTGTAACAGGAGAGTCAGGCCCTGGGGAAGGTCGGCTGGAGGGCGCCAGAGCCCCAGGGACCCTGCGGGTCAGTGTCAAGTTCTGGGTGGTGGTCCCTTGCAGGCTGGCCCGTGCTCTTGGCACTCACGGGGGTCCCGGCGCTGCTGCAGCTCCTGTCTCTGCCCTTCTTCCCCGAGAGCCCGCGCTACACCCTCATCCAGAGAGGAGACAAGGACACGGCTCGACAAGGTACCGGGATGCAGGCTGCTGGCCGCCTCCCACACCCGCCAGAACGTCCCTCCATGGCACCCAGCGCTTGGGACAGGCGGTGGCCAGCGGGGAGAGGGGCCCCAGTGAGCAGGCGCCGGTGGGCTAGGAGGAGTCCGGGCAGCTCTGGGGTGAGGTCCAGGGGGGAGCACGGACAAGGTCAGAGCCATGGCTGACCCGTGTTGGCTTGAGAGCCTGACCAGCGTGGGATGTGGTTGGGGCTGGGGACACCATCACATGGTTGGGTCCTGGTTGGGGTCATGAGCACTCCGCACTGGGAGAATGGGGAGCCGGTGGCCAGAGGTGGGCTGAGCAGGTGGGCGGCTGCCCTCCTCCCCGAGCACAGGTGAGTGCAGTCAGCCACGGGGGCTGCTCCGCTCCCCGCAGCTCTGAGGAAGCTGAGGGGCTGGGCCGATGTGGAGGACGAGATCGAAGAGATGCGCGTGGAGGACCAGGCCGAGAGGGCCGAGGGCCGCCTGTCCGTGCTCAACCTGTTCACCTTCCGGCCCCTGCGGTGGCAGCTCATCTCCATCATCGTGCTCATGGCCGGCCAGCAGCTTTCCGGGATCAACGCGGTACATGGGGCCTCGCGGGGCGCGTGTGTGCCCGGCAGCCGTGTGGGCAGGGGATGGAGGGGTACAGGGGGGCTGAGATGAGTGATCGGCCCTGCAGGCCTGGCCAGGTTCTCCCTCAGAACTTCTGGTCCATTCGAAAGCCACTGGATTCAATCAGACGGGCTGCATCCCAGTCTCCTAACGCCACGTCCCAGCTCTTTTCCCAGCTGCCTCCCTCCTGTCCAAGGGCCCCTGGGCCTCCCAAACTGTTTGCTGTAGAGTCAGGAAAGGCAGGCCAGTGGCCGACCCCGTGGGCCGGTCCTCACAGCCCTGGGCTTCTGTTTCAGATCAACTACTACGCAGACATGATCTACGCATCCGCCGGCATATCGGCCGCTCACTCGCAGTATGTAACCGTGGGCGCCGGCGTGGTCAACATAGTCATGACCGGCGTTTCGGTGAGCGACCGGGAATACCCTTTCCCCCGGGGCGGGGGGGCGGCAGGTGCCCCGCAGGCAGACAGGGACCCCACCGAGCCCACTGAGGTGCTGGTGACACCGGTCCCAGGTCACTGAGGGACACAGACTTTGGGATACGCGTGCGCACATGTTTCTTCCTTTGTCAAATGGTTACAGCGATGGCAATGCCCAGGACGCTGGTGTGGGTCCCGGGCACAGAGACGAAGCTGGCCTTCTCCCTCTAGCCGGCACGCGGTGGTGGGCCGCTCCTGTGGGCCTCGCTGGACGGCGGGGACAGTCCCACCTGCAGGCCCGGAAGTGACCGTAGAGGGCCCACCACCGAGTTGGCCTCGGTGTGGCCCCGGTGCTGGCGCTGGCGGTAGGGATGCGGTAGAACTGGAAATGCCTTAGAACTCGGAGAGAGGAAGGAAGGCCAGCCAGGGCAGCGGGGCCCAAGTTGGGAACATCCGAGAGGGTTCGGTTCGGGCTGAGAGAGAGGTGCGTGTCCCGGAAGTGGAGGAGGACGTGCGTGGGGTGACTGGGGCTCGAGTCGGGAGGTCAGACCCTGGCTGCTCACTGCCTGAATTGGAGCAGCAGGTGACAGGAGGGGCCATTGTAAAACGTAGGATTTATTATCGTTCAGGCAGGGGGCGGCCGGCATAGCAGTAGGTGATTGCCATTGGAAAGACAGTCTGTCACTCCTAGTTCCAAACTGTGTGAGGAGGGAGGGGCAGGCCAGGTCACTCAGGGCCACGCGGGGAGGCACCAGGGTCAGCCGGGAGGCGGAGGGAGCAGGGGAAGGCGGGCAAGAGCCTGCATTGTGGTTTCTGTGGGACCACGGGGTGAGCAGGCTCAGGCCCGGCCCGTGTGAACAGTTTCAGGGGTTCTGGGACACAGGGGCTGCCCGGGTTGTCTGGTACCTGCCCTGGGTGATCAGGACAGGGGGACAGCAGCCCTGGGTGTGAGCACCCCCTGGAGGAGGAGGTCGGAGGTGCGGGCTCTGGATGGGTTAGTTTCACATGAAAGGCACATTCAGGGGCGATGTTGGCTCTCTAGAAACTGGCCAACCAACGTAGGAACAGTCCTTCCAGGGGTCAGCAGGGCCCCAAGATGGCAAAGCATCAAATGCAGAAACTAGAAAATGTAGAAGGGGTGGTGGGCCAAGAGTTCCAGGCGCCCTGGGCCTGGAGGCTCCTCACTCCCTCCCTCCCCACAGGCCGGCACCGTGGAGTGGCTGGGCAGACGGCTCCTCCTGCTGGTCGGCTATGGCATCTGCGGCTCGGCCTGCCTGGTGCTGACGCTGGCGCTCCTCTTCCAGGTCTGGTTCCTTTCTGGGCACCCGGCACCCCCTCCCCACCCTCAGGACCCAGAGCCGCAGGCGGGTGGGAGGTCCCCGTAACAGACCGGCTCCAATAGACCAGGGTGGGTCTCAGCTGGTCTGGCTCCACACGCCTTCAATGCAAGTATTGTGTGTTGTTGTTGTTTTTGTTTGTTTTGTTTTTTTAATCCTCGCCCGAGGAGATTTTCCCATTGATTTTCTAGAGACAGTGGAAGAGAGTGGTGACACAGTGACCTGTGCAGCTGGGTCGGTTGAAGTCTGTTCCCCTGGTTTTGTGCCAGTCATTGTCCTGGCTGTGGGGAGATGGCCCACCCGCTCTCCTGGTCACCGGGCTTCTAGAAGGGTCCTCTCAGCGAGCATGGAGTCCTGGCCCCAGCGCCATCCTGCTGATTGTCTCACCTGGGCTGTTGCTCGACCCCCCAGGGCCCCAGGGCCCTCCTGGTCCGAGTTCAGGCTCCACATCTCTAGGATTGAAACAATAATGTCTCGCTCACAGGCGTGTCATGGGGATTAATGGTTAACGTTGTGACGGGTGGAGAGTGAGTGAGCTCATGGCAGGCAGGTAGGGCTGGAGGGAGCCTCTGGGAGCTGGAAAGCTGGCCAGCCCCTGGTTTCATCTTCCTCCCGCTCTTGCCCACGCACCCTTGAGGCCCTCCCACGTGGGTGAGCAGAAATCCAGGCTCCTCCCTGTGGCGGGAAGGCGCCTGGTGTGGTGGACTCACCTGCCCTGAGCTCTCCAAGGCCGCAGGCGGGTGGGAGGTCCCCGTAACAGACCGGCACCGACAGCCCTGCTCTCCCACAGAGCACAGTCCATGGGCTGTCCTACCTCGGCGTCATCTGCGTCTTCTCCTACATCGCGGGACATTCCATTGGGCCCAGTGAGTACCCGCACCCCCTAGCCCTCCACAGATAGAGCCCTAGCTGGTTTGGCTCAGTAGATAGAGCATCAGCCTGCGGACTGAAGGGTCCCAGGTTCAATTCTGGTCAAGGGCACATGCCCGGTTGCAGGCTCGATTCTCTATTGGAGGGCAGGCAGGAGGCAGCGATCAATGATTCTCTCTCATCATTGATGTTTCTCTCTCTCTCCCTTTCCCTTCCTCTCTGAAATTAATAAAAAAATATATTTTTTTAAAACCATAGATAGATATACAGTAAATAAGCAGATATACAGTGTACCTGTGGTGGTGAAACTTTATAAGGGATGATGATTAGGAAAAAATGGGTTTATAGATTGTAGACAAGTCTCCTTAATGACAAAAGGTGGAGAAACAGACCCCAGGCAAGGTGCCTGCAGCAGGGGCCTGCCATTCCCCAGAACTACCACAGGGGGACAGCACTTCCCAGGCACAAGCACTTTTTGAGCTCTGCTCCCCTTCATTGAGAATTTCAAAATGACACCAACACTGGGGAGAGTGGACTCGGTGTGACCTCGAGGACCCCGAGGGAGGTTGTCCCCCCCGCCCCGCGCCACTGCAGCCCTGGTGCGCCCGGAGGAGCCAGCGGGGCAGGAAGCAGGGCTCTGGCTAGAGATGCAGGCTCCTCCCTGGCCATCTAGGACCCCGGAGGCCTGGGGCCTACAGTTCCATCGTGTTTGCCTGATCAGAGGGGCTGGGGCTGGGCGAGGGCCCCCCCGAGCCCGCTGCGCCCCACTGGCCCTGTGCTCTCTGCCCTCGAGGTCCCGTCCCCTCTGTGGTGAGGACCGAGATCTTCCTGCAGTCCTCCCGGCCGGCCGCCTTCATGGTGGACGGGGCTGTGCACTGGCTCACCAACTTCATCGTGGGCTTCATGTTCCCGTCCGTCCAGGTGAGCAGGGCGTGGGCGGGAAGCATGGTGGGTGGCCCCTTGCCCCCTCCCTGCCCCACCCTGCCCACCCCGAGGCAGAGAGCCTTCAGGAACCAAGCACAGGTTCCTTCCACTAAGAGCATCAGCTATTTCAGCATACGTGGTACCTTATTGGACAAACTTATTGGTCAACACAAAACTGGCCACCGAGAACTCCCGGGTGGCGCCCCGAGGCCTCCCCAGGAGCGCCCCTGTCCTTTCTCCCTCCGTTCCCTCCTGTTTTCTTGTCTCTGCCCAGGAGGCCATCGGGGCCTACAGTTTCATCATCTTTGCCGGAATCTGCCTCCTCACTGCTGTTTACATCTACGTGGTGATTCCTGAGACCAAGGGCCAGACATTTGTGGAGATAAACCGAATTTTTGCCAAGAGAAACGGAGTGGAGATTCCAGAGCTGCGAGAAGAAACCACGGGTGTTGAGCCTCACGTGTCTCCGCCCACGCAGGAAACTTTCTTCTGATGGCTCTGCAGGTGCCACGTCACAGTCGGAGGCCAGTCTCCGAGAAAGGGGCTCCCCCAGGCCTCACGAGAGGGTCACAGCTCTGAGCTTTCTGCGCCCCCAGTGGCAACTGGAAGGCTTTGGAAAGATCAGTCCCTGGCTTGGTGGAAGACGTGGTTAGCTTCCAGCCGTAATTACCGGGTGGTGTGACTCCGGAGAATGGGCAGGCCCTCAGCATTGATTGGCAGGACTCAGTGCTCTGACTATGGATGTAGGGGTCAGAGACTCATGGAATGCTGCATGGATGTACTTTTATAAAGTAAAATGTTTCAAGTTCAGCTATTCATAGGGAGGGCTGAATTCCAATCAATGTATTGGCTAGAGAATGAAAGGAACTAGAGGCCAAGGCTCTGGATTCCACTGCCTTCCGGGCAGCTTCCATTCACGCTCCGTGCCGTGGCTTGCCACGTATTCTGGTCAGCGTCACAGCCTGCCGGGGCAGCTGGGCAAGAGAGGTAACAGGTGTTCTTGGGCCTGTTTAGAGAAACCCCCTCTCTGGGTGGGTCAGTTGACCTCTGCCTTGGAAACAGGAGAGCACTGTATCGAAAGATACAAAGTACCAAAGCTCACTCAGTAGGAAATAGGCAGCCTGTGTAGTCCTACATCCACTAAAGAAATGGAATCTGTGGCTAAAAACCTTCCCACAAAGAAAACCCCGGGCCCAAATGGGTTCACTGGTGAATTCTACCAAACATTTAAGGAAGAAATAATACCAATTTGACACAAAGTCTTCCAGAAAATTAAAGAGGAAGGAATACTTCTGAATTCATTGTATGAAGAAGTCATCATTATTCTGATTCCAAAGCCAAACTAACGATGTTACAGGAAAACTACAGATTAACACCCCTCATGAACATAGATACAAAAATTATTAACCAGATTTTAGCAAATAGAACACAACAATATAAGGATAATAATATATCCTGACCAAGTGGGGCTTATTCTAGGAATGCAAGGTTGGCTTAATCCTCCACAAATTTATCTATAGATTCAACACAATTAGAACCAAAATTGCAGCAGGCCTTTTTTGGGCAGGGAGGGTAGAAATTGACAAGCCCATTCTACAATTTATGTGGAAATGCAAAAAAAAACCCTAAAGTAACCAAACCAACTTTGAGAAAGATGAAGTTGGAGGACTTATTACCTCATGTCAACACTCATATAAAACTACAGGTATCAAAACAGTATGGTTGGTATAGCAGGTAGATCAATGAAGTATAAGAAAGAATCCAGAAATAAACCTCCACATCCAGAGATAACTGATTTTTGTCTAAAGCAATCTGAATGGTGACAGGTTAGTATTTCCAACAAATGCACTGGGCTAATTATATCCATATGTGGGGAAAAAGAACTTTATCTATACCTTACATTAACACAAAATGGATCACAAGCCTAAATTAAGACTTAATAAAACTTCTAGAATAGAACATAGGAGATAAATATTTGTGAGCTTGGATTACACAAAAACAACACCAAAAGCACAATCCACAAAATAAAATATTGCTAAATTGGACTTGGATACAATTAAGAACTGCTATTTGTAAGACACTCTTATGAATATGAAAAGACAACCACAGACTGACACATACATATGCAAACCTCATATCTGAGAAAGACGTGTATCTAAATGTATAAATGTGTAATGAATAAAGAGCTCTCAGAGCTCAAATAAGGAAACAACCAATTCAAGCTTAAAAATGGGCAAAAGAGTGGAATAGCTACTTCACCAAAGAAGACACAGGATGGTAAATAAGCACATGAAAAGATGCTCCATATTATTAGTAATTAGGGAAATGCAAATTAAAACCATGATAAGATACCACTACACACCTGTTAGAGTGCCTAACGTTAAAAAGACTCCATCAAGTGTTGACAAGGATGTGGAGAAAGTAGAACTCTTGTATTCTGCTGGCAGGAATGTAAAATGGTGCAGCCAATTTCAAAAAGTTTTCCAGTCCCTTAAAAAGTGAAACGTCTACCATGATCCAGCATTCCACTCCGGAGTATTTACCCCCATGTCCGTTCAAAGGCTTGTACCCAAGTGCTCACAGCAGGTTTATTTGTAATGGCCCCAAACTGGACACACTACAAAAGTGCATCGCCAGGTGAGTGAATGAATGAATTGTGGTTGATCCGTACAACAGCATACTTCTCCACAGGGCAAAGATACGAATGCTGCGACCTGCCACAATATGCATGAACCTCAAAGTCATTCTCCTCCATGGCACAAGACAGACCAAGAAACACATACTGTTATTTTAATAATATAAAATTGTAGAAAATTTTTCCAACTCAACTTTAGTGACAGAAAATGGATCAGCAGTTACTGGGGAAACTTTTTGAATGATGGACATGTGTATTATCTTCATCATCGTGATAATACAGAAGTGTACATAGGTCAGAACACCAAATTGTACATTTATTTATACTAATAAAAGGGTAATATGCTAATTAGACCTGGAGATCTTTCAGGCATTCTTCCGGACAAAGCCATGGTGGTGGGGCCAAGGCAGAAGCGGTTAGGGGCGATCAGGCCAGGAGGGGGAGGGCAGTTGGGGGTGATCAGGCCAGCAGGGAGGGTGGGGGGGGGCGGCGAGTCAGGGGCGGGAAGGCCGCCAGGAGGGGCCAGTTGGGGGTGAGCAGGTCGGCAGGGGGAGCAGTTGGGGGCAAGAAGGCCAGTGGGGGGGGGGCAGTAGGGAGCAAGCAGGCCAGCAGGCAGAGTGGTTAGGGGCGATCAGGCAGGCAGGCAGGTAAGCAGTTAGGAGCCAGTGGTCCCGGATTGCGAGAGGTATGTCCGACTGCCGGTTTAGGTATGTCCTAAACCGGCAGTCGGACATCCCCTTGGGGTCCCAGATTGGAGAGGGTGTAGGCCTGGCTGAGGGACACCCCCTACCCCATGCACAAATTTCGTGCACCGGCCCACTAGTATATATGTATATATATAAAAGGCTAACATGCTAAGTGTTGGACCGTCTGACCAGTAGCTATAATGCACATTGACAACCAGGTGGCAGACTCTCAACGCAGAAGCTGCGCAGCTGCAGCGACTTGGCAGAGGCAGTTCTCAGGTGATGCACCCCGAAACCAGAGAGGAGGGAGCCCGATTCCTCACGGGGCCGCAGGATTCCTCCTTCAGTCATAGGTTATGTTGTTGCTGGGGCACTCTCGGCCCCAAATCTGGTTTACCAACACACTTGTGTTTGCATTCCACACCCTGTATGACAGCAACTTTGCAGAGCGCCCTCTTGCACTCTGGGACCCCTTGGGGGATGTCAGAGAGCCGGCTGTGGCCTGATCCCTGCAGGCCAGGCCAAGAGACCCTACCTGCAGAGGGACCCCGCTCACTCTGCAGACACCCTTCAAGCCACAGTGCCACCCCAGGTGCACACGGGGTGGCCAGGGAGGGATCGCAGGAGGTTGGCTCCAGGACGTGTCCGGCTCATCTCACCCAGTCCCACCCCACCAGCCACCTTCTAATTAATTTTCTTTCAATGTGCACGAATCCATGCACTGGGTCACTAGTTTTTCATAAGAAATTATTAATTAAATATATTTTCAATTTCTCGTTAATGAATCGCATTGTCTCTGGGTGGTCTGCACGAGGTGGGGGCTTGATGTGACCTTGAAAAGCCTCGTCCCCACGGTGCCACAGACCTTATGCCCTGAAGCCAGTCCCTGAGGTTCCCTGGACCCCTTCCCTTGTCCTTTCACGGGAGCAGCAGCCCCTCTGTCCCCAACCCCACGGGCGAGGTACCGCCCTTGAGAGCAAAGTTCTGGGCGCGACTCCCCCTGGTGCCGTGTCAGCACCTGCAGCAGGTGCTCCGTAAGTGCTTGCCGATCGGGTCTGACGCGAGGCCAGGTGACCCGAGGCCCCAGGTGTGACAGCTGCAGCCTCGCCCCGCGGCCTCACCTGGGCTGCTGGTCTGAGGCTGGGGCTCAGACTGAGTCACTCCACGTGCCCGTCCCGTGTCTTTGAGATGCACAGTGGCTCTTTGTCCTTTGCTGGGCTTGCCCGGGCTCCCTAATCTGGGTGCCTAAGCCCAGGAGCTGCAAAGAGGTGCCTCCCCAGATAAGGCAGGTGCCCAGGTCAAGGTCCCCAGGGAGGGAGAGGGAGCCAAGGCCTCGGGGAGAGGCACCGGGATGCCATCTGGCCACATCCCACTCGGAGGAATTCGCAATGACGCTTGGACTCGATACACCGAGACCAGCAGTTTTGGGGTGTGCGTGGAGAACCCTCTAGAGCAGGGGTGGGGGACCTTTTTTCTGCTGAAGGCCATTGAGTATTTACCACGGAATTCCCGGGCCACCCACAAGGATCAACTTGAAAGTTATGTTGCTGTGAAAAAAGCTCCTGGACTTACTGAATTTTGAGTCCTGCTTGTGGTTCCCTAGGCAGGGCCAGACCAAATGTCACCCACCCCTGCTCTAAAGGAACTTTTAAAGAACCGTAGCCTTTCCATTCCCACGCACGGGAGAAAATATCGGCGACTGAAAACCAGTTATGCGTTACAGCGGGACCCATAGGACCCCTTCTTCTAGGTTCTTGATTGGCATTTGCCATGTGTCATGCCGCGAATGAGGAAACATTCAGTATGTTGTCCTTATGCCATAACCCAGGCTTTTGTGTAATCCAGACTGCGCTGTTCTCAGCTACACCAGGAGTGGCTGGACTGTTCTAGAAGCCCAGGCTTGGCCTCCTCACCTGGACGCCCCCCACCCCAGTCACAGAACTTGGGGTGTGGAGGAGCCCTAAAGACGGGTCCCCTCACCTCCGTCATTGTCCAGATGAGGCCCCTGGGCCGGGAGGTGTGGGTGGAGCATCCCTGCGGCTGATTCAGCTCTTCAGGACGGGCGGGCGGGGGGCGGGCAGCTCATGGCAGGCCGAGTGCACAGCCGGCAAGGTTTGGCTCTGATGAGCAGCCCCTCGGAGACAACACTGGCTCCAGGTGTGGGGCCAGGTGTCCCCTGTAAAACCCACTCAGCCGCGGCCTCAGAGCTTCCCAGGTTGGCTGCCTGGTCCAGTTTTCAGATGCTTCTCCCTCCTCGTCATAAGATCGTGGATTTCAGTTGACAAGGACCTTGGTTAGCGGTCTCTCAGTCCCTGTCCCCAGAGGCTCCCTGGCTCAGTTCCCAGGACGGCCCTGCAGTTCTCAGGCCTCGGCTCGAATGCCTCCATGGACAGGCGGTTTCTCACTGGCAAAGCCCGCCCCTCCCAGCACGGACGCTGGAACCAGCCCCTGGCCTACACGCCTGGCTCTGCGCTTTGGTAAGTTGCTTCTCCATCTCATTTCCCGTCTGAGAAACCGGAATAACGGGAGTTTGGTGTCTGCCTCACAGGATGGTTGTATGTGGGGCAGACAGCATTCCGTGTGCTCTGGCTGACTCGGTGCCCCCGTCTGCCCGCCTTCCCTTCCCCTGAAGGCATTTCTGGGCCCAGGCTGAGCCGGGGGAGTGGGGAGTGGGGCCGTGCCGCCCTGCCCCTGTGGCTGATGGAGTTGGTGTGCGGGCGCCCGGTTCCCGCGCCCCTGGGGGCCCGGTCTGAGTGTGTCCTGCGCGGAAGGCGCCCGGTTCCCGCGCCCCTGGGGCCCGGTCTGAGTGTGTCCTGCGGTTCCGGTGTAGCTGCTGGGGAAGAAGCCGCAGGTGCCTCTGGGAGTGGCTGGGTCTCTCCCGGCCGCTCAGCTCCCCTCCTGCACCACCTTTCCCTCCCTTTCCAAATGAACCACTCGCCGGGGGGCTCGGCCCGGCTCTTCCCTGGGGAACCCAAGCCAAGCCGCCCTGCCAAGCCTTCGCACGGCGGTCGGACGGCCGTGTTGCTCATTCACTCGGTGCTAACGGTTATTGTGAGCATCTTCGTCCCATAAAATGTTCTTCCTACTTTGATCCCAAACCCCCCTCCTTGGAACTCAGCCCCTTGTCCTCGTCTCTGCCTGCGCACCGTCCCGGTGCCGGGGCCCACACACCTTCATCAGGGGGGGCTCCGACATTGCCATCCCCCTATGGATCCGTCCGTTGTATGTTTTTCTTCTTCTTTTTAAAATATTTTTTACTGATTTCCGAGAGGAAGGAACAGGGAGAGAGAGATAGAAACTGCCGGGGTCCAGCCCCAGCAGGTCCAGGGGTCCCCAAAGGTGTGGATGGAGTCGGCGAAGAAGGAATGACATGGAGGCAGCGTTCAGTTGATCAGCAGCCTAGCCAGGATCTCCAGCCAGGATCTCCAGCCAAGTTCTGGTCTGGATCTCCAGAGAGGTTCTGCTTCAGATCTCCAGCCAGGTTCTGTGCCCATGTTCTCTTGCTAGGTTCTCCAGCCAGGTTCTGTCCAGGTTCTCCAGCCAGGTTCTGTAGCCAAGTTCCCTCGCTAGGTTCTCCAGCCAGGTTCTGTCCAGGTTCTCCAGCCAGGTTCTGTAGCCAAGTTCCCTCGCTAGGTTCTCCAGCCAGGTTCTGTCCAGGTTCTCCAGCCAGGTTCTGTAGCCAAGTTCCCTCGCTAGGTTCTCCAGCCAGGTTCTGTCCAGGTTCTCCAGCCAGGTTCAGTTACCAGGTTCTAGTCAGGTTCTCTTGCCAATTTCTGTAGTCAGGTTCAGTCCAGGATCTTTTGCCATGTTCTCTCGCTAGGTTCTGTCTCTAGGTTCTGAGGCCAGTTTCTGTCCAGGAACTTTTGCCATGTTCTCTCCAGCAAAGTTCTTCTGTCTCTAGAGAATGTTCTGTGTAGGTTCTGTGCCTAGGTTCCGTCTCTCCTGGTTCCGTATTCTAAGTTCTGTCTTGCTGTCTTATTACATCTGTATTTATACCAGTTGATTCAATCCTATCAATCTCTATTACAAAGGTTAGGGCGTTTCTTATCTCCATTCCAGGGAGTAAAGATTATGTAGCTTAAGCATGATTGTTCGTAGTTAAAGTGATTAATTACCCACCTGGCACTAGTTAAGAGGTTTTATTCCCTCCCTAACTTCAGGGGAAAATCCCTACCTGGGGAAACAACCTTTCTCAGAGACATTGGTTAAAACACATAGTGCCAAGAAGGTGAGCAAACATATTAAGAACAGTATGCCATATATGCCAGGTCCCTTGAAACAGCAAGCATGGACCGGCTCCCGGCAAGAAACATCAACGATGAGAGAGAATCATTGGCCGGCTGCCTCCTGCACACCCCACACTGGGGATAGAACCCTGACCTCCTGGTTCAGAAGTTAATGCTCAACCACCCAGCTACACCGGCCGGGCAGGTTTCATGTCCAAGAAGACACTGCCATCTCAGCCGTCTGTCCCAGAGCCTGGCCCGAGGCCGGGCCCGTTGCAGGAGGGAGTCCCGCTGGTCGGGAGCGAGCTCGCCTTCCTCCCTCATCCTGGTGGGCTCAGCGGGGAAGACGTGGGGCGGACTGTTCCGGGCGCTGCTGGCCACGTGCAGCCCCCGGTGCGGGGCCGGCCGTGCTGGGCTCGGAGAGGAGCGGCTGGGGCAGCAGCGGGCGGCAGGGGTTCCTGTAGGTTCCCTGGCCTGTGAGGGACAGAATGTGACCCCTCTGGGGGCCCGGGCTCTGTTCCTGGCTTCCCGTTTCCACCTGTGACAGCCCCTACGCCTCATTGTCGGGTCTGAGGGGCTCCAGTCTCCTCAGAGTCTTAGATGTGTCCCAGTTATGATTCTTTAAAAATATACATAAAAATTTTCCATAGTTCTCCTCCCCCTGCTCCCCTTCTTTGCTAAAATATTTTGAGGTTAATTACAGACATCATGACATTTCACCCCTAAGTATCTTACTTTCCCTCCGTCCTTCAGGGGGAGAGAAACATGGAAACATCAATGATGAGAGAGAGTCATTGATCGGCGCCCTCCTTCGTACTTTGGATTTTTAAAAATAAAGTCATGTTTTTGTGTAATGCCTTTATTTCACATACAGAAAAAATTATTAATCCCTAAATATCTCTACTGTTCCTGCCATATTCACTGTCTGCCGTCGCCCCCAAAATGCGACGGTATTTCTTGCGCTTGCTCCTTTCAGGCACCAGGCGGCGCCATCGAGCTTTCCGTTCCTTCCCCACGGCCACCGCCACCTGTGCGTCTGCCTTCTTTTAACAACAGGCGGGGATGTGAATTTGAGCCCTGCGTCCAGGGATGGGGGCTGGTGCTGGTGACGCTGCAGGCCCAGCTCCAGGCCCAGCTCGCCTCCTCGCCTGGGTTTCCTCGCTCTCTCTCCCTCTCTCCCTCTTTCTCTCCCTCCCCACCCCCCATCCTGCTCCCTCCCCCTCTCCTGGGGGCCCCTCGTTTCTCCTCTCCCTCGGGCTGCAGGCATCCTCTCCAGATCCCGCTCTAGGTAGTCGATTCTCTGCAAATATTCACTGGGCACGTGCAGTGCCATTTAATTCACACGAAGATTCCAATGACCTATGACCTTTCCCTGCAGTGTGTTCATTTTCAAGCGAAGCTTGTTGAGCAGAAAGGATTTTTAACCCTTGATGGTCACGGGAATGGAGGAGAAAGAGTCCTGGGCCGAGAAACACGGACCTGGGTTCCAGACCTCGCTTCGTTATTTGGCACCGGAGCCCGAGCTCCTCCTGCTTGAGTGAGCGCGGGAGGGCCCGACTGTCCCGCGTGCGTGGGGACTCCGCGTCCTGAGGACGAAGGGACGCTCACGGTGCGGAGGGGCGCAGCGAGCTGCACAGGTCACACCCCGCTCTTGCCCGTGGGAAGCGGGGCGCTGCTTCACAGGCCCCTCCTGGATGCTGGGGTTTTGTCCTTGACAAGGGGCTAGCGGCCCCTTCTGGTATTTTTTTTTAAATATATTTTTTCTGCTTTCAGAGAGGAAGGGAGAAGGAGAGAGAAAAATGGAAACATCAATAATGAGGGAGAGCTATTGATCAGCTGCCTCCTGCACGCCCCCCACTGGGGATGGAACGTGTAACCCCGACATGTGCCCTGATCGGAATCCAACGGTGACCTCCTGGTCCACAGGCCGATGCTCAACCCCTGAGCCACGCGGCCAGGCCTTCTGGTGTTTTGGATCCAGTCTCCCTGGTTGTTTCTGTGGCGTCTTATTTGGAGATTGTGTCCATCCAGCTGGGAGGGTGGGGGGCAGGTCAGGCCGCTGGTGACAGGAGGGTGGACAGGAGAGCTGGGCAGCTGCCAGCCAGGTGTGAAGGTGCTTGGAATTCATAAAGCTGGACACAAGCGGGGCCACAACCCAGTGCAGTCCCGTCTTCCTGTGGGAGAAGACCAGCCAGGAGCACACATGTGCTGTTAGTCCCTGGCACGCCTGTAACTTGTCATGTGACCTTTACGGGCCCTGTTATGTGCCTCAGTTTACCAATAGGAAAAAATGAGAGGGGATGGATGGATCTCTCAAGTCCCCTGGGCCCAGCCAGTGTGGCTCAGTGGTTGAGTGTGGACCTATGAATCAGGAAGTCACGGTTCGATTCCTGGTTTAGGGCACATGCTGGGGTTGCCAGCCGGATCCCCAGTGTGGGGTGTGCAGGAGGCAGCCGATCAATGATTCTCTCTCATCATTGATGTTTCTATCTCTCGCTCCCTCTCCCTTCTCTGAAATCAACAAAAATAAAAAATAAAATGCATACATACATACATACATACATACAATACAATTCCCTGGGCACAGGCCCCACCATCCTCCCAGCGGCCACTGGAGGGCAGCACCTCCTCTCCAAGTGCAGCTCAGCCCTCTGGACTGTCCTTGGCAGAACCCTAGGTTCAGTTAGATTTTCACTGAAGGGCGCCCCCAGGAGGCCTTTTGGGAAATTCCTGGCACTGGTGAGAGGGACACCTCCTGAGAGCACCAGGGACCAGCTGGTGGGCTGTTTCTACCGGATATCTTGTTTCTCAAACCTTTTCTCAGGACCAAGAACTTGTGGACACCAGCCTTGGACATAGGAATTCCAGGGCCTGAGAGGGTCTTGCCAGCTCGGCTCCCAGAGGCCCAAGGGGGAGGGCAGGGCTGGTCCTCCTCCCACCTCAGGAGTCTGCTCTGGGCGGTGTAAAGGCAGATTCTCCCTGCCCTCCCTGCTGTGTCCCCCACCCCCCCACCCCCACCACCTCCATGGCTCCCAAGAGGAAACTTCAGGAATTCAGTTAGGAAAGTGTTCCCAAGGCCAATGGGGGGACATCAGATTAGCCCCAAACTGGCATCACTGAACGTCTGGTCGTTTTTATTCGATGTTTGTTTTCAGTTTTTAAACTAAATTCATCCAAATTCCTGCTTTGTGTGGTTCGTAGGAGTGAAAAGTTGAAATCAGAACTTAACAGTAAGCAATAACACCAGTCAGCAGTAATGTTTACACTTCCCACAAAACTTATTAAAATGTCCATTGGGGGCTGGGAACTTTCATTTTTTAGCCTTCCAACATTAAAACAATGTGATTGGCTACAAAAAAAAAGGCGAAATTTTGAAATGTTAGAAGATTCTAGATCTTCTTCATTCTTTCTTTTGTTTTATTTTTTTTCTCTCTTTTTACAGAAGCAATGCTTGTTTATCAAAAAAGTATAATCTAAGCCACTTAGAAAAGGATCGTTTAAATCCTTGGTGTGGAACCTTCCAGATCTCTTTGTATATTCATACACACACATACACTCACTCACACACGTTTCCAAAGTCATTTATTGCATCTAAATGCTACAGGGACGTGGGAGCGGGTTTATCGTTTAGAAAGATCAGCGTGCACGATTCCACGGGAGGCTAGCCAGCCCTTTCATTCCTGTTCCAGCCCATTCCCCCCGGGGGGTCTGCCTCACATCCCTCCTCAAACTTTTCCGCTATCTCGTTGTCTGAGGGGGGGGTGCGGGGGGGGGGTCTCGGGGTTTTCATCAGAAATCAGCACGGGTGCTCCCGGGGGCGCGGTGCGGCCGGACCAGGTGGCGTCCCGGGGTCGGTGTGGGTTCTTCCTGCCCCACCTCACCCTGCAAGCTCAAAAGAATGTGCCTCTTCTCTTCGCTTTCTTCTCAGATCTCAGCAGGTCATCCAGCTTACCGTTGATCTTGCGCAGGTAGGACTGGAGCTCAGAGCCTGTAAAAAGAAGAGGGGCCCCCATGAACCCGGAGAGCGGGAGAGCCAGACGCCCTTCCCCGCACGTGAGCTCAGGGCAGTGTGTGCGGTGCCTCCAAAGGCCCGCGTGTCCATCCGATTGGCTTCCCGCATCTCCACTGGGTGTGAATCCAGGCTGGCGAGCTGCCGGTCTGCCAGGGGTGACATGTCGAAGGCGGGTCTATACTCTCGCTCCTCAGCTTCTCCTGTGGTGCCCAGTGGCCCTTCCTCGCCTTAGGGTGCAGAGGTGTTTCCCAATCCATTGCCCCCGGTCTGTGTTTGACCAGCGTTGCTTGGGAACAGCCCTTGGCTCTCAGGTCCTTCCTCACTGAGGGTTGGTCATGCTATGGAACTGTGAGATGCAGAACTAGGGGATAGCCGTGGGCCACCCAACCGGTTTGACCGGGGACAATCACGACTACACAGAAGGAGGGCCTGCTGCCACCCCCCTGCTCCCTCATCAGCAAAGGCGGGCCACCACCGGGTCCGTCCAGGGCGGGTGTGGGAGGAAGCCCTCTTACTGTCTCCCGGGAGTCACGGGAACCATCCCAGGCAACGAGGCTCAGAAGGGCCACAGTGGACCTCCAGGCAAACAGCGATGGGGAGTGCTGGGCCTAAGAGGTCCCGGTATCGGGGACACCTGAGCCCCTCGTGAGGGTACATTGGAGTGACATCCCTGCCCCTGCCAAGTAGACAGAGCATTTGCGATGTGGCCTATGGTGAACTGTACAGTCTGTCCCTGTGGCAGGAATAGTGTGGCCCTGGCCAGGTGGCCTAGCTGGTTGGAGCATCATCCCATGCATCAAACGGTTGCAGGTTCAATTCCCAGTCCGGGCACATCCCTAGGTTGCAGGTTTGAGCCCTGGTCAGGGTGCATATAGGAGGCAACCAATTGATGTTTCTCTCTCCACCTTCCTCTCCCTCTAAAATCAATAAAAACATATACTCAGGTGAAGATGGAAAAAAAAATAGTGTTAATTTTGATTTGGGGAACCTGGCAAAATTAGAACAAGGAGACGGATTGAACCTGAGCTCCCCGTGGCTGGCCCGCGAGCAACTGGACCTGTTTAGGAAGACGCCAGCATTTTGAAAAAGGAAGCGTTACTGCTAATATCGCCTAGAGCAGTGGTCGCCAACCGGTGGTCCGTGAGGTCTGAAAGGTTGGCGATCGCTGGTCTGTAGTATAATATGGGGAAACTAGAGGCCGGGTGCATGAAAATTCATGCACTGGAGTCGGGGTCCTCCAGCCGGCCTGCCCCCTCTCACAGTCCGGGAGCCCTCAGGGGCGGGAGGCGACCCAGTGATCAGGGGAAGGCGATGCCCCCATCACACCTCTGCTGCTGCCAGTACAGTATAATATGGGGAAATTATCATTACAGCTGGCATCATTATTTTTTCTCTTAGTATCATATTGGAGGAGCAAACTGATGCGAAGGAAATCAATAAATGAACCAAGAAGGAAAGATGGGGAAAAAACCTATTTTGAGGGACGGGGGGGGGGGGGGGGGGCGCTAGGTACAGAGACTTAAAAATCTTAAAAGAGACAGGTAAAGATGGGGTGATATTGATTGGAAACCAATTCCATTGTATTAGAGCAGGGGTCCTCAAACTATGGCCCGCGGGCCACATGCAAATACAAATATTGTATTTGTTCCCGTTTTGTTTTTTTACTTCAAAATAAGATATGTGCAGTGTGCATAGGAATTTGTTCATAGTTTTTTTAAAAACTATAGTCCGGCCCTCCAACGGTCTGAGGGACAGTGAACTGGCCCCCTGTTTAAAAAGTTTGAGGACCCCTGTATTAGAGGATGTAAAGGTGTCAGGAATGGTAGATAGAAATAGATTGTAGAGACAGAGCAGACGAACATAAAGATGGGAGAACTGCAGAGTATTTATATTCTTACAACCACAGAACCGAAGTCGGAGCTTGGCCCAGTGGGTTAGCGATTCCGGGGGAGTCGGACGGCCTCCACCTGCACCCAGCACCCCGGTGTCAGGGCTTGATCCCCAAGAAAATGTGGCTAACAGTGTGGTCCACCCTACCTTGAGGGAGTGTATAGGAGGAGCTGAGATGGCTTGGGCTACAGACTAAGATAACAGTGTGTGGGGAATGACTTAGGATGGGTTACACAAGGTTAACCTGGACCTACACTCTTACGGGAGTGTCTGCATATTGCGGACATCTTGCTTCTCCTACTGTCTGTGGCCAGGGCCAGGCAGGGAGTAAAGCATACAGCCGCCATCCTCATCGCCTCCTCGGTTCTATTCACCGGCATCGCTGCCTGGACTAGGAAAATGAGTCGCCCCCTTTGCCACGCCCGGTTCAAGTGGGCCCATCTGGGCCTCCTGCTGCTTAGCTGACTCTCCTCCCTGCTCGGTTGCCAGAAGAGAGAGGCCCACCAGAGCCCGAGGGAAACAGCGGTCCACAGATTGCAAAGAATAACTGAGAGTTGATCTTACGATAATTAGAGTGGTCCTCGAAGTTGGCTTCCACCACTCTGCCGTTCAGGGGCTGGGCATTGCGGTACACATTGCGGATGGTCTCGTCCTGGTGACCCAGTAAGGAATTCTCTAGCTTCCCAATCTGTAGGCAACAGGAAGTGACTTAGGGAGAGGGAGAGACACATGGTGATTTGAAAGAGTTTCGTTAGAAATGGGACTCAGTCTCAGACTTGTGTAACTCTGATAAAGCAGGTGTGAGATCTCAAGCCCAGAGGAAGTTCTGGGTGCTACCTGGCAGGCACAGGACATGCATCCATTTATTCTTCCAAAAATCTCTTTTAATCACTTTCTGCGAGTATTTGTTCAACAGTAGAAAGGGGAGAAGGACGTAAACAGAGACATGCCAAGCAGCAAGCTCGATGTTTGTTTTCCTGAAAATATCTGTATCTCATCTACATCCTTGAAAGGCATTTTTGCTGCGTGTACAATTCTAGATCAGCTGTTTATTTCTCTTGGTGCTTTGAAAAGATGGTTTCACTGCTTTCTGACGCTCACTGCTGCTGCGTGGAATCAACTGTCAGTGTAATCCTGCTCTTTTAACTTTCCCTCTCTGACTGATGTTCAAATTGTTTTCTTTGTCTTTGATTTTTTTGTGATTTCACTCTGATATGTTTAGTGTGTGTGTGTGTGTGTGTGTTTTAAAATCGACATTGAGCCCTAGCTGGTTTGGCTCAGTGGATAGAGTGTCGGCCTGAAGACTGAAGGGTCCCAGGTTTGATTCTGGTCAAAGGCACATGCCCAGGTTGCGGGCTTAATCCCCAGTGGGGAGTGTGTAGGAGACAGCCAATCAATGATTCTCTCTCAATATTTCTATCTCTCTCTCTCCGTCTTCTCTGAAATCAATAAAAATATATTTTAAAAAAATTTTTTTTTAAATAAAATTTACATTGACTCATTGGACTAACTGAATATATGACTTTGTGTCTTTCAACCCTTCTGAAAATTTGTCAGCCAATATTCCTCAAATTGTACCTCTTCTCTATGCTACCTCCCTTCTCCTAGAGTTTCAACTTGATATTTGTTAGATTTTCCCACTATATTCTCTGTCTCTCTACTTCTTTTTCACCTCTTTTCCTCTTTGTGTTTCATTTTAGATAATTTTCTCAGCTCTGCTATTAAATGCATTCACTCTGTTCTTACTATCTTTTCAATTCTAGAAATTATATTTTCAAGTCTCTGTGGTCATTTTTATACTTTTTGTTCTTTTGTCATATTTAAAACTCATATTAAACATGCTTATACCTATTATGCAGTTTTACATAGATAAACATTCTTATTTCACGTTAACTGATAATTTTGCTCTCTGAAACTTGTGTAGGTCTATTTCTACACAAGTTTCTTCTCAGAGGGCTGCAGGGATTTTCGGTGGCAAAGACCTACATGTGACGCTGTCCGCCACAGAGCCATTGGTGGAGTCAGGGCGCAAGCCCCGTGAGGACGGCGTTTTGTACTTCAGGGGCCGACAGCAGCGCCTCTGAGAGTAGCGCCCAGTGAGAATTTGCCTTCACTGTGCAACTCCCTCCTCTGGCCTGGGTCAGGCCTGTCCTTTTGCTGCAGGAGCTATGGTCCCTTGGGTTCTGTGATGCCTGTTTGGCCGTCTCTGCCACAGCACCGGTAAGATCACCCCTGGCAACAAAGGGCAGCCCAGCAGCCCTGTCCATGGACACCACCACCGGAGCCCGGGAGGTGGCCCTGTGTGGGGTTTGGGGGAGCACTCTTGTTAGCCAGGCAGTCCAAAGGGGAGCCCTGGGTGAAGGGCTCCACGCGGTACCTGAGCCCTGGAGAGCTGCACGAAGTCGGCCAGCAGGAACCAGCGCACGTTCTCCGTGCAGGGAGGGGTGGTGAGGGAGCCCGCGTAGGTGTAGTAGAAGCGGAGGTTTGCGGGCAGCATGTCCTGGAGGTCCAGGCTGCTCAGAACGGTGTTTTGTCCTAACGGAGGGGACCACAGATGAAGAACGTTAGGGCCTGCTGCAGCCCCTCGAGGGGACGCTCGGCTCAGAGCTCGCCTCCTGCAAACTCCTGACCCACGCGGAGCGGCACCGGCTGACTCCGGGGACACATCTCCCCAGCGTCCTGCTTCCTGGAAGGGTGAGGAGCAAAGACCTGGGGAGACCCCTCAGCTACCTCCTCCTGGCCAGTTCTCCATCCCGAAGGCGCCTCCTCCTCTGTAACAAGGGAATGGTCAGCAGGGGTGCTGTGGGGGGAGGGGCAGTGTTTGTAAAGTGCTGGCATGGACCAGCATACGGGCCAGTGCTCATGCGTGTGACCTATCATCAGCATCGCCGTGTGGGCTGAGACCAGGGCAGAGAATTTCGGGAGAGAAGAGGAAGAGCAAGGTGATCCTTTTGGAGAGGGGACAGCCAAGGCCCCGAGGAGTCGTCTAAGATTTCTATGGGGCCGCCTCAGGCCTGTTCACATTTGTAGCTACGAATAACAATAATCCCCATGCGTGTCTGTTTCCGCCCAGCCACATGCGGCCGTGGCTACAGGCTGGGGTTGGTCTGGGCTTTGGCAGGTGAGCTTGTGGCGGATGAGGGGGGCGGGGGGGGGGTGTGGACGCAAGGGCGAGGAGGGCGTTTGTCGGAGCGAAGGCCCTGGAATCTGCGAGGTACAGAGAGAGGAAAGGCACGAGGCTGACTCGTGGTGAGAGCCAGGAGGCCCATGGGCGGGAGGTCAGGAGGCCGGGGGGAGGGGCGAGAACAGAAGTGGCCAAAGTGAGATGCTCAAAGCCAAGCCCTCAAAGCCGACGTGGGTATTGATTGCTCAAGGTCCAGGGTTGGCCCTGGGAGTAGGTGACCCCTCTGACCTGAACTGGCCTCCCAGAGGGAGAGGGCGGGAAGTCCAGCCCCCAGTCTGCGTGTCCCCCACGATGATGAGGGGCTGCCGTCTAGAGATTGGTCTCAGCTCGCCACCGAGGGGGACCCTTCTCTCTAGGGACCAGGATCGATCACCTCCCAGCTGGGGCCAGGGTGGAGGGGGGGGGTGGGGGGGTGGGGGGGGAGCACTTAAGTGAAGATAGCGCTGGCCATCCAGAGGTCCCGGTTGTGGGAAGGACAGGTAGATTATGGACAGGCTCTCAGCGGGTTCGAGGCCTGAGCCAACAGCAGGAATGGCCGGAAAAGGAGACCTAGCCCAGGGAGGGTGCTCACCCTTCACGGGGCTCATCTGCCACCCTCCCCACCAGCGCCACCCTTCCCTGCCCATGCCCCCTGCCCCCCCCACCACACACTCATTCCTCCCCCCTCCTCCCTCCTGCCGCTGTTGGCCTCCCTTACCTAAATACCTGACGTCTTCCAAGTGAGAAATGAAGTTGCTGTAATACGAGTTTTCCTCATAGTCCTTGACCTGCAGGGCAAACAGAGCAATGACCTCAGTGGGGAGAGACTGGCCCTGTCCCCTCTGGCCCACCTGCCGGTTCCCTGGCTGGTTGGGCAGAGCCGTGAGGGCTGAGAGGGGGCACCTTCTGGCATCCCAGTCTCTTCCAGGCAGACAAGCTCTGAAGCATTTTGGCAGCTTCATGGGAAGGGCCAGGAGTCGCTGTCGGAATATCCCAGGGGCCCCGCCAGCCCTGGCTGCTCCGCCCTGCCCCCTGCCGGGGCCTCTTCCGCTTTTGAATGAGTGTTGCCTTTCTTAAAGTCAGAAAAGTTGCTTTGGGTGAAAATCGCCTATTTTCAATAGTTCTTTCCAGTCAATGGGGTTGAGCCACTTCTTCTTGCACCGCATATAAATCCAGGTTTCTGGGATTTATAACTGCCTCTTGCTGTTTGCTTTCTAAATGTGCCGTGTCTTTTTCTGTCCCTCTGTTCCACCTTCTGTGTTCAACAAATGCTTCCAGTGCACCATGGAACCACGTTTAGTTATTTTCTTAGTGGTTGCTGTAGCGATTACAATATACAACTTAACTTAGGTTGATACTAACTTCCAGTAAAATAATCGCAACTTTTGTCCTAGCTGGTTTGGCTCAGTAGATAGAGCATCAGCTTGTGGACTGAAGGGTCCTGGGTTTGATTCCCGTCAAGGGCGCATGCCTGGATTGTGGCTCCAATCTCCAGTACGGGGTGTGCAGGAGGCAGCTGATCAATGATTCTTTCTCATCATTGATGTTTCTCTCTCTCTCTCTCTCTCCCTTCCTCTCTGAAATCAATAAAAATATATTTTTAAAAATTATAATAATAAATAAAATATAGCAACTTTCCTCCAGTGTAGCTCCATTTCTTCCCCATCTTTTGTCATCTATAATTACACCTACATATATTATAAACCCAACAACACAGTGGCATTATTATTCCTTTAAGCTATTTTGAGGGGAGGGGGCAGGTTTGAGACCAAAAAAAAATAGTTTCTGTAGATGCTCTTTTGTCTGTACGCACTGATCTACCATTTCTGGCCTCTGCATTGCTTTCTGTGGATCTGAGTTACTGTCTGGTGTCATTTTCTTTCGGCCCAAGGATTTCCTTTCATACTTATAAGAACGTCTGCTAGCAATTATCTCGGTTTTTGTTTATCTGGGAATGTCTTTATTTCACCTCATTTTTGAAGAGTGGTTTAGGATATGGCTTCCTGGTTGACTGTCATTCCACTGCCTTCTGATGACTTGTTTCTAATGAGATGTCAGCCGTTAATTGCACTGCCAGTCTGTATATATAACAAATTCTTTTTCTCTTGTTGCTTTCAGCAGTTTGACTTTGATGTGTCTGGCTGTTTATCCGATGTGGGGTTTGTTGAGTTTCTTGGGCTGGTAAATTAATGTTTTTCATCAAATTTGGGGAATTTTTGGCCATTGTTTCTTCAACTTTTTTTCTGCCACTTTCTCTGTCTCCTTCCCTTCTGGGACTCCCATTATATGTATGTTGGGACATGTGGTCTTGCCCCATGAATTTGTTTTTCTTCAGTCTTTTCTCTTTGGTCTTCAAGATGAATAATTTATTTGTTCTGTCTTCAAATGCACGAATTCTTTTGCTGCCTCATCTGCTTTGAGCTCTTGTGAATTTTTTCATTTTACTTTTCAGCTCTAGACTTTCCATTTGGTGCATTTTTACTGTTTCTGTTTATCTATTGAGACTTCCCTTTTGGGATCATTGTCATATTTTCCTTTAATTATTTGAGCGTCATTTTTAAAAAACCCTCTGAACATATTTATGATAGCTGTTCTAAAGTACTGACTGTTAAATCACTCTCCATCGACTCAGCATTCGTTCGATTGACTGCTTTCTCTTCTCTAAAATATGGATCACACTTTCCAATTTCTTTGCATGCCCAACTTTTTGGGTTGAAAACTGGACATTTTAGATAATGCATAGGAGCAAATATGAATTCTGATTTTTAAAAATTGTGCTGAGGGTGTGTTTTTCGTTTGTTTGTATGTCTGTTTAATAAGTTGCCTTGGCTTTATTGCACGATACGTCTCCCCAGCAGTATGTAGCAGCGGATGTCTTTACTCTGTTTTTTTTGGTGTTTCGTTCTGTGTGGTTTTCTTTTTTTCCTAAAAAAACAGGAAGGTATTCTCTCCCAGTTCTGGAGGCCAGACATCAGAAATCGCGGTGCCCTGATGGCCATGCTCCCTCTGAAGGCTGCACGAGAGACACCTCTTGGCCTCTTCCAGCTCCTGGGTGTTATAAGCAACCCTTGGTGTCCCTCGGCTAACAGCTGCCTCACTCCAGTCTGCACTCCCGTTGTCACATGGCCCTCTTCCCTCCACATCCGCGTGTGTCTGTCTCTGTTCAGTTCTTAAATATTGGTTTTATTTTTTAGCCTGAATTCCTAGGGGCCGCTGAGGGTCAGTGGAGCTGTGGTCAGTCAAGGCTCTGAGCAGAGGTCATGCTAAATGCCCTGAGCCCTTAGATCTCACCCGCTGCTGGTGGAGCTGGGTGAGGGTCGAGAAGCACGAAGCCCAGCCAGTTCTCACGCTGGCCCCAGCATTTGCTCCCACCTCTTGGGAAGCTTACAGTCCCTCCGTGACTCTCATTCCCAGGACATCTTCCATCAATTTCTGATCGCTCTGCCCTTGCCACTCACCCCAACTGGGACTGCTCCGCAGGCTGTCAGAGCTGCGAGTTTTCTCCGTTTTCTGTCTTTTCTTTCAAATTTGCTACTTATACTGACAGCCATCGCCCCCTCCCCGCCACAACCATGAGTTTTCAGCTTATCTCCCAAATCCAGTCAGCCCCTTGCCCCAAGCAGTGCAGCTGCTGGCGTTCCTGTCCAGCCCCCTGGTAAGCCACCTTGCTACCAAGTTAGCGGTGGGGATGGGAAGTCCACCGGCTACCACTGCTCTTGCTCAAAATTCTAGCTCAGCCGGTGTGGCCCAGTGTTTGAGCTTCGAACTATGAACCAGGAGGTCACGGTTCGATCCCCAGTCGGGGCACATGCCCGGTTGTGGGCTGGATCCCTGGTGTGGGCGTGCAGGAGGCAGCCGATCTATGGTTCTCTCTCATCACTGATGGCTTCTATCTCTCTCTCCCTCTCCCTTCCTCTCTGAAGTCAATCTAGCTACTTTTCACAAGTAAATGCCTCCGTGTGTTGCCTGCCTTTGGTCTGTTTCCAGAGCACTGATATGGTTGCTTGTGACCATTTTATCCAACTTAATACTTGTTTTGGGGGGGGGGGGGCCGGATTCAGCGCTACTCCTTGCCACGGAGCCCAAAGTCCCACACCCCCCGCCCCCCGACTTCCTTAGACACTCAGAGGTGTTGCCTGCACCTGGCGGCCGCCGGCCTCCCCTTACCCTCCACCCGGCTGAGGTTCAGTCAGCCCCCCGTGATCCCAGCTCTCTGAAGTCACCTTGTCCAAGGTCCCCGAGTTTGATGACACAGAAGGAAAAGGGTAAACCTTCCCCGAGTCAGCTTGTCCAAGGGCTGGGAGCTCAGGAACAGGGAGCAGGGACAGGAAGGAGACCCCCGTCCACACTGAACGCCCGTGTGGATGCCGATCTGCGCCCGCCCATGCGGGGTTGTGCCTACCTCGATTAGGGCCGCCAGCACGGCCAGGCCGTCGGGAGCATTCTTGGCTATGTCGTAGCTTTCATACTTGGAATTGTAATGAACGACGTGAATCTGGGGGGGCAAGACAAGGTGGGTCAGGGGCTGTTCAGGCAGACTCCGAAGGCTTCAGGTTTGCAGGAAGGAGGAAAGCAAAGAGGCTCCACCGAGGCCTCAGACTGTCCCACACAAACAACGCCGCCCTCTGCCGCCCTCCGTCTAGGCCACAAGATCTGTCAAGTCCAGAAAGTTCAGCCTGGCCAGTTCTGCTCAGTGGTTAGAACATTGGCCCAAGGACGGCAGGGTCTTGGGTTCGACTCCAGTCAAGAGCACAAACCTGGGTTGCAGGCTTACTCCCTGGCCCTGGTTGGGGCCTCTGCAGGAGGCAACCAATCGATGCGTCTCTCTCACACCGATGTTTCTCTCTCTCTCACCCTCCCTTTCACTCTGAAATCAATAAAAGTATATTAAAAGGAGAAAAGAAGAGTGACTGGGGTTTGAGGGAGGCGGACCTGGCGGGACACTCACGGTACCTCAGCCGCATATCTGAGCCCGTCGATGGTGTGCTCGGAGCCGCTGATCTCTAAGGCCGCGCCGCCCCAGTGGAAGTGCATCTGCACGGCGATGTACTCGGTGCCCTCGGCCGTGGTCATGCGCATGGTGGGGGGCAGGCTGATCTGCACTGGAAGAGAAAACGGGGGACGGGGTGGGGGGGCAGCCAGGGGTGCAGGCGGCTGATGGGCCAGGCCTCCCGGGGAGGCAGCCTGGCTAGCGTGCCGCGAGCAGGGTCACCTGAAGGGCGTGGAGCGTGCTGAAAACACAGCCATTCTACAGAGTAGCCAGATCATCGTGGAAGCTGAACTGTAGACTCTTTCAAAATACGTGAGAGAAATCTGAGTCACTGAGTCACGTGCGCGAGCTGTGTGTGTATTCTGGTTGACAAGCTGGGGGGACCCCAGAGGAACGGGCTGCTGGCCGCCGGACGTTCTGCAAACGCAGAGCGTGGATGTTACATGGTCTGGTCCAGACTTCCGACGGGGGGCCGCCCACACCCCGCTCTTCCTGCCAGCCTCCACCCCTTTCTTGGAGGGAAGGGAACGCAGGGCTTCTCTTAAGCCTCTGAGAAACCCCGGGCCTCCTGTGGGCACTGTGAGCGAATCAGACTCCAGAGAGAAAAGGAGGAAATCAGACAGGGGCACAGATCAGGGAGCAAAACCAGCGGGGCTGTGGCTTCGGCAGCATGGCCACCGCACCTGGGTTTGCCTCTGTCACCTGGGTTTGCCTCTGTCACCTGGGTTTGCCTCTGTCACCTGGGTTTGCCACTGCACCTGGGTTTGCCTCTGTCACCTGGGTTTGCCACCGCACCTGGGTTTGCCACCGCACCTGGGTTTGTCCCTGTCACCTGGGTTTGCCTCTGTCACCTGGGTTTGCCTCTGTCACCTGGGTTTGCCACCGCACCTGGGTTTGCCTCTGTCACCTGGGTTTGCCACCGCACCTGGGTTTGTCCCTGTCACCTGGGTTTGCCTCTGTCACCTGGGTTTGCCCCTGTCACCTGGGTTTGCCTCTGTCACCTGGGTTTGCCTCTGTCACCTGGGTTTGCCTCTGTCACCTGGGTTTGCCTCTGTCACCTGGGTTTGCCTCTGTCACCTGGGTTTGCCTCTGGCTGGTCTGAGTGGGCACAGGAGAGGCTGGCAGGGACTGAGGGAGCAGCGGGGACGGAGGCTCAGGACAGAGGCCGCACACCTCAGGAAGAGCCTCCTCACTTCAGGGCCCAACACCGGTCCCCCTCCAGGCTGTGCTCTGGAGCAGCGGTCGCCAGGTGGTCCGCACCACGGAGGGTCCGAGACGTTCGAAAGGTTGGCGACCGCTGCTCTCGATGCCCTGCGGCCACCCTGGTAGGAGCCTCGCCCTCCCCTCACCTGTGTGGCCGTTGTTGGTCATGAAGAAGTCGCCGCCCTGCGCCTCGTAGCCGGTCAGGTTCAGCGCCTTCAGGGAGGGGTTGTACCGCACCTTCTTCCTCTGCACGTCGATAGGCGACTGTCTGTCCCCCCCGCAGGTGGGGTACTCCTCGTGCCAGTGTGTCTCATCGTTCGGCCCCTCTGAGGCGGGAGAGAGCAAAGGGGAGCACAGGTCAGGGCCCTCCCTGGGGCGCCCCACTTAGGGCAAAGGTCAGAGCCTGCCACTCACAGCAGAGCCTGCCCAGCCGGGGCCCCCAGTGGCCAGCAGGATGCCAGGGTCAAGGCCAGGCTGCCTTGTAGAAAGCAGACCCAGGGCCTCAGGAGGGGGTGAGAGGGGCATCTGAATCCACTCCAGGGGCCCCAGCCCTATAGATATGACTTGGTGTGTGTGTGTGTGTGTGTGTGTGTGTGTGTGTGTGTGTGTGTGTTTAATATATTTTCTAATTGATTTTTACAGAAAGGAAGGGAGAACATCAATGAGAGAGAAGCATCGATCAGCTGCCTCCTGCATGACCCCTACTGGGGATCAAGTCCACAACCCAGGTACATGCCCTTGACGGGAATCGAACCTGGGACCCTTCTGTCCGCAGGTCGATGCTCTATCCACTGAGCCAAACCGGTTAGGGCACAACTTGGTGTTTTGAAAACAGTGGTGACTACACAGCCTCAGTTTCCCTCTGAAGGGCGGGCAGCTGATAAGTGCGTTAGGGGCTCCTTGGGCTTGGGCATCACTGAGCCCAGGACCTTCTGCGAACGGAGAGCATGGATTTTCCCGTTTCCTTGGATGCCACCATGTCCTACCCAACCCCCACCCCTGAGAGTGACACGGCCCCCACGCCCGCCGGCAGGACCTCCCACCTGCTTCCTGGCCCCAGGCCTTCCATCTGGTTCCCGGTCCCTAAAGACCAGGTATGGACTCAGGACAAGAAGGGAAGCACCAGATTCAAAGATGAGCAAATAATTGGTTAAAACATATCAGAGCAGCCCGGCCCCCGTGGCTCAGTGGTTGAGCACCGACCTATGAACCAGGAGGTCACAGTTCAATTCCCCATCAGGGCACATGCCCGGGTTGCAGGCTCCATCCCCAGTGTGGGGCGTGCAGGAGGCAGCCGATCAATGATTCTCTCTCATGACTGATGTTTCTATCTCTCCCTTCCTCTCTGAAATCAATAAATATATTTTTATATATCAAAGTAAGGAAATGTATCTCTCCCAGCCACAGCGGGGAGAGCGATGACCTCAGAACAGCTGTGGGTCCTGGTCTCACCCCCTGTGCCTGCGGGTCCAAGTCCCGCCCCCCCCCCCCGCCCCCCGGGGGCCCAGCTGCGTGAAAAGGGCACAGCTTGTGTTAAGGAGGACCTTGGACCGGGGCCTTGAGCAGCTTCTTGGCTTTGCAACAGAAAGTCCATTCTGCGCTTCTCTACATGATGTCCAGACCAGGTTTAAACAATTCTCTCCGGGAGGCGGATGCACAGCCCAAGATGGAAGGCCCTGGCCCAGGCCCTGCCAGCACTGGGGGGAGGGGGCGTGTGCAGGGCTCAGTATTCCGGGAGGCCCTGGCAGTAGCTGCCCCAGTCCTCCCGGCCCTTGGTGGCTGTCTGCAGGCCACAGCCCCACGGCCGGGCTGTTGGCATTCCCTCTCTTCCTCGCCCTCCCAGCAGGGCCACGGCCTCATGGATTCCTTAGCCCAGCACCCAGTGGCCAGGGCTGGCTGGCTGCCCCGAAGCTGGACCCCCTGTGTCTCCCTGCAGCGTCCCTAGTCCCGCTGCCCTTGGACTAAGGGGACATAGGTCCGCCCGAATGGGTGCCTCCCATGTCGGGGGTGGGCTGTGCAGAGGGGGCCCCACACCGTGTCTGCTCCTGGTCCTGCATAGGCCAGTGGCCGCCGGCTTCCTGTCGGGGCCATGCCTCGGGGCAGCTCAGAGAAGATGGGGCGGGAGGCAGGCGCTCTGGGCGCTGCCACGGGCAGAGGTGTTTCGTGTCCAAGCCCCACAGACACGGTCTCCCTCTCCTTGGCTCCCACGGGGCTAAATGCCAGGGGCTTCCATTTCACAGGTAACAGTCGGGGTTCAGTCAAGTGTATATTCCAGTGTCAGCAGGGTCCTGGCGACCGAGGGTGGGCAGCTGGGGGCCCCCAGAGGCCTGGGTGCCCGGGTCCTCGACCGTAGGGACGTTCATGAGACAGCCGAGAAGAGCGCTCCCGGGCCCTGGAGGCTGCGGGCAGGCAGCCCTTGGTTTCTTGTGTTGTTGTTTTTAAATCCTCACCAGAGGAAATGTTTTTATTGGTTTTAGAGAGGAAGGGAAGAAGGGAGGGAGGGAGGAGGGAGGGAGGGAGGGAGGGAGGGAGGGAGGGAGGGAGGGAGGGAGGGAGGAAAGAACATTGATGTAAGAGAGAAACAGCTATTGGTCACCTTCCATACACACCCCAACTGGGGGTCGAACCCTCAACCTAGGTGTGTGCCCTGACCAGCAATCGAACCCACAGCCTTTGGTGTACGGGACGATGCTCCAACCCCCTGAGCCACCCGGCCAGGCCAGCAGGCAGCCCTTTGTGACAACTTTGTTTCCCACTCACAGGCCAAGAAAGCAAAGGACAGGGCCCAGGCTCCCAGGCCAGCCGGGGGCAGGAACGTGTCCGAGCCCAAGAGCGGCAGGTGAGCCGGGGCCTGGGAAGGGCAAGCCAGTCCCTTTCCCTGCATCGCGGCTTCAGGACGGTGCGTCCTCCTCACCCCGAGCCCTGCAGCCAGCGCGGGGCGGGCCCCAGCGGAGGGCACACATGATCCCGTGTGGGGAGCTCCCACGCCTGAAATGCCAGGCTTCCCCGGGGTCCTCAGGAGGGTCACGGGGCCCCCGGGCCCTGGGGTGGGGCTCACCTGTGTACGTCCAGTCTTGATGGGCCAGGGCTCCCAGGAGGAGCAGGGGCAGGCTGATGAGAGTCCTCATGGCGCGGCAGGTCCAGAATCAGGGCCGGTTCAGGGACACTCTCCTTTTAAAAGGTCAGAGACCCGCTGTAAGTCACAATTTTCTACGTCTGGCTGGTTGGTCCAGCCTCGGGGGCACCTCCCACCTTGGCCCTTCTGACGCGCTCACATGACAGGTGGTGTGCACCTGGCCTCCATCGCGCTGCCATGGCCAGGCAGCCTATGGGTTTGGCTGTTCCGTGTCCTGACTTGGGAAAACTCACGTGAAGGCCACACAGGGCGGCCTTTGTGGACAGGGACACCCGGGAGGGGATGCCCAGGGCAGGGAGGGGCTTCCCAGGAACAGAGCTGCTTCCGCGCCTCGCTCCCGGCCAACAGCGCTCTGGGACCCAGCCAGGGGCCTGGCAGGGCCATCGCCAGGGCCTGCACACCCTTGCCAGGTCCTGCCTGGCATTTCCTGTGTCTCGGAAATTGTCACCAGCCACCGCTGCTGACGTCAGCTGCCCTCAGCCAGGTACCTCGGGACACGATCTGCCCCCACGCGTGGGCCTGGGATGGAGACTGGCAATGGAGGCCGTCGTGTCTTCGCCTCCTGCCGGAGTCCAACCCCAGCAGGTCCAGGGGTCCCCAAAGGTGTGGATGGAGTCGGCGAAGAAGGAATGACACAGAGACAGCGTTCAGTTGATCAGCAGCCTAGCCAGGATCTCTAGCCAGGATCTCCAGCCAGGTTCAGTCACCAGGTTCTAGTCAGGTTCTCTTGCCAATTTCTGTAGTCAGGTTCAGTCTAGGATCTTTTGCCATGTTCTCTCAATCTAAGTTCTGTGTTCTAAGTTCTGTGTTCTAAGTTCTGTGTCCTGCTGTCTTATTACATCTGTATTTATACCAGTTGATTCAATCCTATCAATCTCTATTACAAAGGTTAGGGCGTTTCTTATCTCCATTCCAGGGAGTAAAGATTATGTAGCTTAAGCACGATTGTTCGTAGTTAAAGTGATTAATTACCCGCCTGGCACTTAGTTAAGAGGTTTTATTCCCTCCCTAACTTCAGGGGAAAATCCCTACCTGGGGAAACACCCTTTCTCAGAGACCTTGGTTAAAACACATAGTGCCAAGAAGGTGAGCAAACATATTAAGAACAGTATGCCATATATGCCAGGTCCCTTGAAACAGCAAGCATGGACCGGCTCCCGGCAGCCTCCCTCTGAATTCAGCGGCCAACCCTGAATCCCCCACTCAGGAGCACGTCCCTGGGCGTGCCTCCAGGCCACCGAGCTGCTGGGACACATGTGTCCCCATGAAATGCCTTTGTTCTGACAACTGGGGTGAGTTCCGTCTCACCCAAAGCAATGGGACATGTCAGAGCAATGTCTGGCCGAGCGTCAGCGAAGGGTGGCCTCACCTCCTGCGTCCGCTGGGGTCAACAGCCCTTGAACTGAGCCCACAGAGAGCCTTTTGATTGGTAACTGCTGACCGGCCAGCACTTCGCATGCCCTTCAGAGAGGACACAGGCCTAGGGCAGCGCTCCTAGGGGTGCTTGTGCCCTGGCCCATACAATAGACCGCCTATTCCAGAGCACAGAGCGAGGCCCCAGCCTCGTCCATCTCACCGCCAGCTCTCCCCCACGCCCCAGTCCAGGGATGCCCAGAGGGCAACATGGCATGTGAGTTCAGCCAGGTGAAGGGCATGGAGAAGGGCAAGGACGCTGAAGCCAGACAGACAGAGGGCTCAGATCCCTGCCCGCCGCTCACCAGCTGTGGGACTTGTGGCTAGTGACTCACCCCCCTGTGCCTGCGTTTCCCAGGATTCGGGGATGTACCTCCCTCCCGGGGATTAACACGGATGTGTGTGTTGTTCTCAGAGCGGCAGCTGGGACAAACGGCATTTTCATCTACTCGGACCCCTCATCCCACGGAGAAAGGATGTGGTTTATCGTTGTCGCCCAGTCTGTTAGTGAGGGAACCAGAGGCAAAAATGCAGGACTCCTCCAACCCACGGAGCTCTTGTCCCCATTTGCTGGGGTGAGAACCCCACTCTGCAGTCTTAGTGACGGGTCACACCCTGCCCGCTGGGCCCGGCCCTGCCGAAGGGCCGCCTCGCAGATCCCGTGAGATCCCGTCTCTGCTGAGGACGGCGAGGACGGGCCTTGGCCTTTAGGCAGGCCAAGGGTCCCACTGGCAGGAAACACAGTGGAGCTCACTAGCGCAGGATGGGGTCGGGTGCTGCACAGGCGGGAGAGAGGCGGGGCCGAGGGAGGGAGAGGATGCAGGAGCAGGTGCTCTGAGAGAGGAGGGCTCCAGGAGCGGGCCCCGCGCAGGTCTGCGCTGGGGAGAGGGTGAGTGTCCATTGCCCATGGCTCCTGCCTCTGTGCCCCACAGAGACCCGCTGTCCTGCGTGTCACGCTCCGGGAACCCCGGGGAGCCCTGGTGCCTTCACTGCCCCCCAACAGTCCTCAGTTCCCTGTGTGAGTCTATTATTGTAGCAGCCCCGCCATGGAGCCCATGGCAACCTATTCGTCCAGGCTTTGCCCTGGGGTCTCCGGTCCTTGGCACGAGCCTGCGTGGCTGGTCATCTGGCTCATGGGTGATGAGGATCAGTAATTAAGCTCATTAATCAATCAGACCAGCCAGGCTCACCGCTGATGAGGGAACATGACTAAAGGAAGAGGGTCCCCTCGTCTCCTGTGTCACCCACTCCAAGGACATCAGCCACAGTCAGGCAGCGTCACCCTTGTCGCCTTCTTTCTAACTCACTGTCGTCTTTGGCCCTAAAACTTTCCATGAACTGGAGTTTCCTTGTATTTGTTTGTTGCAGTTGGGGGTTTGGGTCTTGTTGTTTTAGTGTCACACTAGACTCTGGACTGGCTTCTCCTGCCTTCATCCAACCACATCTCCAGGGCAGGAAGGTCGTGTCTTAGTCTGAACCCTATCAGGGAGATGGGCTGACATTTTCAGCACAATATAGCATCAACACGAGAAAGGAGCTTTTGTTCTTCCTGGTGCCGCCACAGCGCCATGACGAAGGCCCGCGGAGGCAAAGAAAGAGAAGGAGCAGGGGGACGTGGTGAGCCCAGGTGAGCAGGGAGGCACTGTCAGCCAAGGTAAACGGAAGCTCAGGGACAGGGAGGGGTGCCGGGAGCCGGTCCATGCTTGCTGTTTCAAGGGACCTGGCATATATGGCATACTGTTCTTAATATGTTTGCTCACCTTCTTGGCACTATGTGTTTTAACCAAGGTCACCTCTCTGAGAAAGGTTGTTTCCCCAGGTAGGGGTTTTCCCCTGAAGTTAGGGAGGGAATAAAACCCCTTAACTAAGTGCCAGGCAGGTAATTAATCACTTTAACTACGAACAATCATCCTTAAGCTACATAATCTTTACTCCCTGGAATGGAGATAAGAAACGCCCTAACCTTTGGAATAGAGATTGATAGGATTGGAATCAACTGGTATAAATACAGATGTAACAAGACAACAGGACACAGAACCTAGACACAGAACCTACACAGAGCCTAGAGACAGAAGAACTTTGCTGGAGAGAACATGGCAAAAGATCCTGGACAGAAACTGGAGACAGAGCCTAGAGACAGAACCTAGCGAGAGAACATGGCAAAAGATCCTGGACACAACCTGGCTACAGAACTTGGCTGGAGAACCTAGACAGAACCTGGCTACAGAACCTGGCTGGAGAACCTAGACAGAACCTGGCTACAGAACCTGGCTGGAGAACCTGGAGAACCTAACAAGGGAACATGGACATAGAACCTGGCTGGAGATCCTAACCAGAACTTCGCTGAAGATCCTGACCAGAACTTGGCTAGAGATCCTGGCTAGGCTGCTGATCAACTGAACGCTGTCTCCGTGTCATTCCTTCTTCGCCGACTCCATCCTCACCTTTGGGGTTGGACCAGCCCAGGTGCGCCGGGGCCCAGGTTGGTGCAGGCCTGGCCTGGAGGATGAGTCTGGCTCCAGAAGACTGTGTACATTTGGTCTATAAGTAACACAGATGGGACATTGTTCTGTTTCACTCAAGAGTTTCGGCTCTGGAATCGTAAAAACAAGTCATCCTGGACAGGCGACTTCTCTAGATGGTTAAAGGCTCAGTTCTACCTGAGCAGCAAGACGTTTCGTCCATTTTGGATTAAAACTTCTAAAACATATCACACTCTTCCCTGCTTTTCTTAAAAAGATAAATGTAATTAAACTTAATGACCGAGGCCCCATTAGTATGAAAATTATTACCCTCTATTGTAATATCTAGATGCCCACAGGGCCTATAGCTGTATATGGCTATACTCCCCACATGAAAGGACCCCTAACTTATTGGTTTTTATTTCCTATATCTGATATCGGGGGGTGGGGGGCGGGGGCAGTCAGCTAGCTTATTCAGTTGTTAAAGCAATGTACACCTACGCTTCTAGGGCAGTGGTCGGCAAACTCATTAGTCAACAGAGCCAAATATCAACAGTACGATTGAAATTTCTTTTGAGAGCCAAATTTTTTAAAGTTAAACTATATAGGTAGGTACACTGTTATTAACTTAATTAGGGTACTCCTAAGGCTTAGGAAGAGCCACACTCAAGGGGCCAAAGAGCTGTATGTGCCTTGCAAGCCGCAGTTTGCCAACCACGGTCTACTCTAGGTGATATTCACACTATAAACCTCCATGGCCCATCAGATGGGAAATGGGACTCGGTGCCAGAGCAGGTCTGCGAGCCCCGGCCTGCCAGAAGTCAGCCCTGAAGTTGGGGGGCTGGGGGCAGATTGAGGGACCCGGGCAGGGCTGGGCCACAGGGGCACCTGGAGAGACCAGCGTGTTCAGCGCATTTATCTTATTTTATTTTTTTAATTAAATCTTTATTGTTTAGATTATTACAGTTGTTCCTCTTTTTTCCCCCCATAGCTCCCCTCTACCCGGTTCCCACTCCACCCTCTGCCCTTACCGCCCCCCCCACTGTCCTCATCCATAGGTGTACGATTTTTGTCCAGTCTCTTCCTGCACCCCCACACCCCTTTCCCCCCCCCCCCCCGAGAATAGTCAGTCCACTCCCTTTCTATGCCCCTGATTCTATT